TTAATACTGAAGTTGAAAGTTAGAAAACTTGTAGTTGAATGAAGAGAACTGAATCATAAGAATTAGAAGCAATAAATTGATGGTATGTTCCAATTATCATTACATTGGATTAATGATTACCAACAACTCTGAAAAAAATCAACAATGTTGAACAGATGGATGTTTAGAGTATGATTGTGAGGATTCCATATTTGAATTGAGAACTTCATTACAATTGGCCGAATTGGAAAGGAAAAACGGGATGTCAATGAGTAGAATCTCTCCAATGATAAAAGTTGATGATATGACAAACCTGCTGAAAATGGCTAAGTTTAATATGGTTACAATTGATGTTGAAGAGATTATAGTGGATTATCCAGATATTTTGGCCATGATGGAAGATTTACAATTAATGGGTGAAAACAATGCTAATAAGCAAGGATTTGAAAACTTGGATAGAGATGTGCTGATTAGTGCACAAGCTATTTACTCTAAATTCTATGGAGAGGCTGATGTTTCTCATTTACCATTGACCTTCAGAGTCATGTTTATGATTGGATGGAAAGAAAGTGGGAATCAACCTCAACCATTACAACGTGGAAGTGGTGAGCTAAACTTGAAAGATGTTTTAGGGTGAGAGATATACTATTTATTCATTATCATAACGGTTATTTATTCATGATTTCGAACAATATTGTAGAATTAAAAAAAAACGGGAATTTGCGCCCGTCAAAAATAAGGTCTGAGCGGTACGGGAATCGAACCCATGCCTAGTGCTTGGAAGGCACTTATTCTACCACTGAACTAACCGCCCGTTAAGGACACTTCGGTTGTGTTTTTGAAGGGCCACATTGTGTAAAGCGTGTGTCCCGTACCAGACCGAAATTTCCTGTGTGGGGGTGGGGAGAGTGACACAATTTGTTCGAGTGTTTCGTGGGGGACAATAAACAATTGAAATCAAAAACAACTTGTTCAAGTTCAAATTGTGGAGTACGTTGATTTCAATTGAACTAGTTTATGGATTGAATAAAAGGCTCATAGAATCATGATTTTGCAAATACCATTGAAATCAACGATTAAAAGTAGATCTCTCTCATAATCAACCAACCGCTTTAATTTGAAACGATCATTGGACTCTTCACCACTTTCCAATCATCAATTGAGATAGTGGATAGCCAACTCCGTCGGTGGTAATATGAGTGATTTACTAGTTGTAGAGCTCAATCACTATGGGCGCTGGTGTATAAAAGAGTGAATTACACCTTTCAACAGGTTAACAAAGTTAAACAAAGTTATCATCATCATCATCATCATGAAGATCCCCTCCACATCCACAAAACAACTATTTAAACATTTCAATTCACCGAAAACATCAACTAATTCACTTTTCAATCATTACCATTCATCTTCATCATACAACATGTCAGAAATCAAATTACACACCTCTGTGGATTCATATCCTAAATCTCATTCAACAAGTGGTGAACCTTACTTGACACCTCTATTCATCAATAACGAATTTGTCAAATCATCAACAAAAGAATGGTATGATATTCATGATCCTGCAACCAATAAAGTTATTTCAAGAGTACCACAGACAACAGATGATGAGTTAAACAAAACCATAGAATTGGCTCATACAACTTTCAAGAAATGGAAAACTACATCAATAATCAAGAGACAACAATTATTGTTCAAATATGTTGAGTTGATTAAACAAAATCATGATAGAATAGCTTCAGTTATTGTTGCTGAACAAGGTAAAACTTTTGATGATGCCAAAGGTGATGTCCTTAGAGGTTTACAAGTTGCAGAATATGCAACTTCAATCACCACGGAATTACAAGGTGTTCAATTAGAAGTTGCCACAGATATGGAAACTTTGATGATTAGAGAACCTCTTGGTGTTATTGCTGCGATTTGTCCCTTTAATTTCCCTGCAATGATTCCATTATGGACAATTCCTTTAGCAATTGCAACTGGGAATACATGTGTCTTAAAACCTTCAGAAAGAGATCCAGGTGCAGCTGTTATTTTGGCTCAATTGGCTAAAGAAGCTGGTGTACCACCTGGTGTGGTTAATTTAGTTCATGGTAAAGTTCCAACTGTTAATGCTCTTTTGACTCATAAATATGTTAAAGCTGTCCAATTTGTTGGTTCTTCAAAAGCTGGTGATTATATTTACAAGACTGGTATTGCTAACGGTAAAAGAGTTCAAGCCAATTTAGCTGCTAAAAACCATGTTGTTGTGGTTCCAGATGCAAATAAGGCTCAGTTCATAAATTCAATTGTTGGTGCTTTTGCAGGTGCTGCAGGTCAACGTTGTATGGCTGCTAGTGTATTGGTTACTGTTGGTGAAACTAAGGATTGGATTCCTGATTTGATTAAAGCTGCAAAAGAATTGCATGTTGGTTCAGGATTTGATTCTAAAAGTGATTTGGGTCCATTGATTTCTAAACAAGCTTTAGATAGATCCCATGATATTATTGCCAAAAGTGTTGAACAAGGTGCCAAATTATTATTAGATGGACGTGATGTTAAAGTTTCAGGGTATGAAGATGGTTATTTCCTTGGTCCAACTGTTTTAGCAAATGTTTCTCAGGATAATGTTGCATACTCTGAGGAAATCTTTGCCCCTGTATTATCTGTGATTCACAAGGATACTTTGGATGAAGCTATTGAATTTGTTAATGAAAACCCATATGGTAATGGTGTTGCATTATTCACCACTTCAGGTATTCAAGCCAAGAAATTCACCAAGAATATAGAGCCTGGACAAGTTGGTATTAATGTTCCAATCCCAGTTCCATTGCCAATGTTTTCATTCACTGGTAACAAGGGTTCATTCAATGGTGATTTGAACTTTTATGGTAAAGCTGGCCTAACGTTCATGACACAGGCAAAGACAATCACTTCTTTGTGGAAGACTAGTTTGATTGAGGAGACTAAACCATCAACTTCAATGCCAAATCACTCATGAATAAACCCATCTACAATTGATTTTATATAGCTTAATGAATGTCTGATAATTTCTGATTCAATTCTGTACATACGCCTTCGGAGCTCGGAGCACTAAAATATCTCCGAGCGAATACCTCGCGAACTCGTTTTGTATTTTTAGACAGCGGCCAGAAAAAAAAAGTCAATGATTTGGCATATTTGAGAAAAACAGAAAGAGAACCCTGAGTAGTATTAATATAAATAAACAGCCACAGAACTGCCTTCAAGATCGAGTGGTTTAATTAGCTGAGTGCCATTTTATCAAGAGAACGCGGTATCCATCGTGTGGCAGGAAAATGCAAGGCTATGACCCCAATGCTTCCTTAGGGTACACCCCTGAGATATCTGAAGAGTTGTTAAGTTTGATCATTGATCTATATAAAACTTATGTTAAACCAACTGTTAATGACTTAAAATTACAAAAAATGATTGATTTGATTGAAGTTGCTGAACATGAATTTGAAAAATATCAAACTTATACCATTAAGAATGAATATAAGGCTGCTTTAAATCATTATATCGTTGGTTTATTTTATGTTTATTTGATTATACCCAATTCAATACAATTTCAAATAAAGAATAAAAATTTTGAGATCTTTATATTCTTAAAGGCATTATATGATAAAGAGATCAACATGGAGAATGTTAAAACAGAGACTGCTAATTATATAAGTTATCTGAATGAGAAATTTGAAATGAATAAGATTGAATTGATTAGAACAAGATCCAAAAGATCAAATACATTACCAAGTTCAAACTTACACCAAGATTTGAACTCTTTGTTGAATGAATCTACAACCAACCCAGATGAAAGAGTTTCCTCATCCTCATCCTCCACAAACTCATCCATAATAGAGGATGATCTTTGGTCACCTCCAGATTTACAACCAAATGACCAATTGAAATTAGTTTCAGATAACTATTCGAATGAATCATTGAACAAAATACCAGAATTACCTTCACATCCACCACCACCACCACCACCTTCCTCTGCAACTACAGGGACCGATGATCAACCTCATGAACCATTTGTTCTTCATCATGCAAATACATTACCTTTAGATTTCCAACCGTTAAGTTATCAACCTAAAGATTATGACATCCCTGAAGATGGATTCACCAAATCAAGAAGAAGACAGGATTCTTATCATTCAGTATATGTTAATGGTCATGAAGAAGATGATTTGAATTTACCTATGATTGACTCTAAAGATTTATTTGGCGAATTGAAAACTGATGATACTTTTTGGTTGATGTTTGATTTGAGGAAAAAGGAAAGTTTCAAGATTAATCATATTGGCTATGAAAATATCATAAATATAGATCCTGAGTTGTTGAATGATATTGAAGATTTCCAGAATTTATTTGATGTTTTGCAAACTGTTTTACACAATGATGATTTTGTAAAATTTAAGAATTTGAGGAAATTTGAGAAAGTTGTCATATACACAGATAATAAGAATTTCCTGTCATTTGAATTTGATTATTTGGTGAAATTTAAAAACTTGTTGGACGAAGACAATTTACAAAATTTGCAATTGTTGAAAGGTGGCTTTGATTCTTGGTTAAAATTTATTTCCAAAAATCAATCAGGTTCAAAAGTTTTGAAATTTAAAGCAAGAAGCTTACCAACTAATAATCATAATTTACCTCCATCAGTTCCACCACCATCACCCCCAAAGCAGGATTCATCTGTTGTTGCTCCATATGATTATTCAAAATTCTTGCCACAATACTCAACTAATGGTATCGGATCTAATCAAACAGCAGCAGCTATAACACCTAAAAAGCCACCTCCACCTCCTCCGCACTATCATTATCATCATCAACCCATGAACCATTTCCCTGTTCATCATTATCCTCAACAACAAAATTATTCCAGAAGCCCTCAATCAATACCTTCGATTCCTGAAAATTACCAATACCAACAACCATATATGACACCACCATTACCACAACAGTTTTATCAACAACACGAGATCCAGCATTATCCTCAACAACAATATTCATCCAGTTCATCATATAGTTCTGATGGAGTTGATCTCCATAGGCCAAATAATAGACCAAGAACAGATAGTGTTCCAACTCTGCAAAAATCAGTAAATCCATTTGTTCGTCTGTCAATTACAGGGTTAAGAAATATGGGTAATACTTGTTATATTAATAGTATGATTCAATGTTTATTTGCCACTACAAAATTTACTGAAATTTTCATTAATAATAAATTTGAAGATTATATCAATCCAAAATTCAACAAGATTAAAATTTCTCAATCATTAGCTAAATTATTTCAAAAAATGTATTTAAATGGTGGTTGTTCAATTGTTCCTTCTGGGTTTTTGAAAAATTGTGTTCAAATTAGACCTGATTTTAAAATTCCTAATGAACAACAAGATACTCAAGAGTTTTTAATGTTTTTATTAGATCAATTACATGATGAATTATCAAATTCTAATAATGTTGTTAATGATTATCCAGAACTTTTAACATCTCATGGAGGAAAATTTGGGGAAGATTATAATAAATGGTTTGATAAATTAATTAATCAAGGACTTTCACCAATTTCCAAAATTTTCCAAGGTCAATTGAAAGATTCATTGAAATGTTTAAATTGTGGATTTGAATCTTCTAATTACTCAACTTTTTATATGTTGAGTTTAGTCATTCCTAAGATTTCAGCATATGGTAAAAAATTGAAAAAAATTCAATTAGAAGATTGTATTAAATTATTTACAAATGAAGAAATTTTAACTGGTGAAAATGCATGGGATTGTCCCAAATGCAGTGATAAAAATAAGAAGAAGGATGATGTTAGTAGCCATTCAAATTCAAGTACTTTATCACTGCCTGATCAAAATCAACCAAGAAAGCATAGATTACATTTTGGTAATGGGTTTAAATTTAGAAATCGTTCATCATCACCATCACCTTCAACAAGTAAGAAACCATCATCAATATCAAGTAATGGTAGTGGCAAACATTCAAAGAAATCATCAAAATCCATTAAATCATTAAATTTTGTTACATTACCACCTATTTTAATAATTCATTTATCAAGATTTTTATTTTATGATTTATCAACAAAAGATACTTCCATTGTTCAGTATCCATTAATTTTAGAATTACCATCACCAGAGGATTCAAATATCATGATTAGATATAAATTGTTTGGAGTTGTTAATCATTATGGTACTTTAAAATCTGGTCATTATACTTCAATAACTAATAAATCAATCAATCATGATTTGAAGAATCCAAATTGGTATTATTTTGACGATGAAGTTGTGAAGACTACTGATCATGGTGATTTGAATAAGAAATCCAGCAGTCACATGTCGAGTAGTGATGTTTATGTTTTGTTTTATGAAAGAATCAATTAAAAAAAAGTTGTTTGCATTCGTTTTATTTCAGTTTAGTTTGAAGTTTGCATTGGTATGGGTCTGCATGTCGTTCATTTTGTTTACTTTAGCATTGTATGTTTATTAGAATTAGCATGTTTATGATGATGTTGATGGCTGTTTTATGTCTGCATAGCTGTAAGAACGTTTGTATGTAATATATTTTTCTTATACGATCATCTTTAAGTCCATGGCTGAGCTGTCAAATGAACAGGGCCTTTAAAAATATCCGGGGTAACAAGTTTGCATCAACAACTAGCAAGATCAATGATAATTAGATGCTGTTGTGATCTTCAAATCAACAGAGACGTGAATAAATACCAACCAACACTTCTCTACAGATTCCACTCCAACTAGAGATTAATTCTAATTTGTCGATTGATCATGGATCTGAAGTTCCTTTTCGATCTATGCGCGAACTCTCTTTTTGACTTGATCCTTTCACAAGTTGAACAAGGGTCCAACTCAAAGATTGGGTGATGGTGATCCTAACACCAACTCCATATTGGTACAACTCTTTGTTAACAGATCTGTTAGTCATATTTTCAACCCTGACTCATACTTTATTGTGTATCCACTAAATCGTCCCCCCAGAATTCAAGAATTTAGGCTGATCACATACTGTCGCCGGTCAGCGCCTGTACCGGGGTTGGGCAGGGCCAGCACTGAGCACAGGGCACATAGCACACATGCCCAAAGCCATACGCAAAACACACAGTCAAAAAAGTGTTGATTCGATACTGAATTCAGCAACGTTCTATTCACTTTCCTTTCCCACACTTTTCTTCTTATTCTGAACTCTGGTGGCTATGTCATAATCAACCATTTCTTCACTTTTTACCCGCAAACTCCAGCTCAAAAAGAAAAAAAATGTCAAACTGAAAACTCTGAAAAAAAATAAAAAAAAAAACCGAAATGCGTCGTGGAAAAAAAAATGATTCATTTTTGGGCAAAACCTTTTGAAAGTGAAATATTTAATTTTGACTGATTCATCTTTCTTTCCAACAACTAATAACTAGAACTTAGGCACAACAACCCGCTGAATTCTTTCATATATCTCAGGAATAGATCATGATCTCCAGCGCAATAAAGACCAACACTGGTCGTCGCTCTTATCAAATAGCCAAAAAATCATTCACATTAGCTATCCGTCTAAATAGTACTTCAACTGCTACAAGACCAAAACCTGCTCCAAATTTTGCACAATCTATACATCCAAATGAAGCTAAAATCTCAGAGCCATCTCCAATAAATAGAAGAAAAGACCTAGGAAACCCATCTTTAGAATTAGATGACTCTTTTGTCGGGTTAACTGGTGGTCAAATCTTTCATGAAATGATGATTAGACATAAAGTTGATACCGTTTTTGGTTATCCAGGTGGTGCTATCTTACCAGTTTATGATGCCATTTATAACTCTAGTAAATTCAACTTCGTCCTTCCAAGACATGAACAAGGTGCTGGTCACATGGCGGAAGGTTATGCTAGAGCTTCTGGTAAACCTGGTGTTGTCTTGGTCACTTCAGGTCCAGGAGCTACAAATGTTGTTACTCCAATGGCTGATGCCCTAGCGGATGGTGTTCCTTTGGTTGTTTTCACTGGTCAAGTTGCCACTGCTGCTATTGGTACTGATGCCTTCCAAGAAGCTGATGTTGTTGGTATTTCAAGATCTTGTACCAAATGGAATGTTATGGTTAAAGATGTCGCGGAATTACCAAGACGTATCAATGAAGCTTTTGAAATCGCTACAAGTGGTAGACCAGGTCCTGTTTTAGTTGATTTACCAAAAGATGTCACTGCTGCTATCTTGAGAAATGCTATTCCAATCAAAAGTACAATTCCATCAAACACTTTGGAAGAAATTACAAAAGCTGCTACAACTGAATTTACTTTAGCTGCTATCAAAAGATCTGCTGAATTATTGAAAAAAGCCAAAAAACCAATCCTATATGTCGGTGCAGGTATTTTAAATAGTGAAGAAGGTCCAAAATTATTAAAAGAATTGGCTGATAAGGCACAAATCCCAGTTACTACAACTTTACAAGGTTTAGGTGCTTTTGATCAAGAAGATCCAAAATCATTAGATATGTTGGGTATGCATGGTTCAGCTTTTGCTAATTTAGCTATGCAAAATGCTGATTTAATCATTGCTTTAGGTGCAAGATTTGATGATCGTGTTACATTAAACGTTTCAAAATTCGCCCCAGCTGCAAGAAAAGCTGCCATTGAAGGTACTGGTGGTATCATCCATTTTGAAATCTCTCCAAAGAATATAAATAAAGTTGTTCAAGCAACTGAAGCTGTTGAAGGTGATGTTACACAAAATTTGAAAAGATTTATCCCATTAGTGGAAAAAATTGAATCAAGACCAAGTTGGTTTGATCAAATTAAAAAATGGAAACATAAATATCCATATGATTATCAAAGAGAAACCCCAGATTCTAAAATTAAACCACAAACTTTAATCAGTGAATTATCAAGACTTTGTAATGAAACTGGTAAAGAAACTATCGTCACCACTGGTGTTGGTCAACATCAAATGTGGGCTGCTCAACATTGGACTTGGAAAAACCCAAGAACTTTTATCACATCAGGTGGGTTAGGTACCATGGGTTTTGGTTTACCATCAGCCATTGGTGCTCAAGTTGCTAAACCAGATGCTATTGTTATTGATATTGATGGTGATGCTTCTTTCAACATGACTTTGATGGAAATGTCATCTGCAGTGCAAGCTAATGCTCCAGTGAAAGTTGTTGTTTTAAATAATGAAGAACAAGGTATGGTTACTCAATGGCAATCATTATTTTATGAACATCGTTATTCTCATACACATCAATCTAATCCAGATTTCATGAAATTATCTGAATCTATGGGTTTCAAAGGTATTAGAATTGAAAAACAAGAAGATTTATTACCAGGTTTGAAAGAATTTTTAGATGCTAAAGAACCAGTCTTATTAGAAGTTATTGTGGAGAAGAAAGTTCCAGTCTTACCAATGGTTCCAGCTGGTAAAGGTTTAGATGAATTTATTGTTTTCGATGCAGAAGTTGAAAGACAACAAAATGCTTTACGTAAAGAACGTACTGGTGGTAAGCATTAGATCTGACTCAAATTCAATTCAAATATAGCATTTCATAATTCAGCATAGGGAAAGAGAGAAAAGAGTGTGTGGACAAAGTAAGGGATTTGTTAATGATTTTTTTCATTATTAAAACGATCAATATTTAAAAAAAAAGTGGTTTTAGTTGTATTTCAAAGTTTATTATAATGCGTGTGTTTAATTTTAAGTTATTTGTGCTTTTATACATTTTTTTTGCTCTATTATATGATCATTGGTCGTTTTGTATTTATTTTGGGGGCCTTGGAGCATTTTCTTATAGCAAAAACAAACGGAATATACATATACTGAAAATTATAGGGTTCTTGGAGTTTCAAAGATAAACTAGTAGAATGAATTAATTGTATCATTTATGTTTGTTGATGATGATTGCAATGAATATTATGCTGGTTAGGACACACTCTTCGCGAATTTTTAAACTGGTTGGATGAAAATTGGAAAAATATCAAAATACACTCGAATAAACAGAATTTAAACAGAGACATTAAATAGTTCTGGAAATCATCACTCTTTTCAATTGGAATTTTCTTATTTCAGCTCATCATTAATTTTGAGACATTGAGTAAAGCCACAGATAGTTCAAGATGTCGGAAAGTACGTATATCTTTTTATTTAACTATAAGAATACCTCTTTTGATCGCTAACCAGCTTACTCAAGATGACACCAGATCACATAGGAATCATGACTCTACAAAGAATTCAAGAAGTACATACATTCCAGCTGGACCTGCTTCCACCACACGAACAGGTGGGAACTCAACTGGTAATGACCGTGGCTACAAAGATTCATACAAGTTTACAGATAGACGAGACAACAGAGCGCTAAGTGTCCGTGGTGACACTGGAGGAGGTTATGTTAGAGCTTCTGGAGGCCATGATAATCGTTCTGGGCGTTATTATGGGGGTGATAGAGATCGTGGTGGCAGAAGAAATGATGAAAGAAATGAGAAAGTACCGCCTAGAGCACCTGCTGCTTCTCTGAAGACTAATAACAACGACAACAATGGAAACAAGAATCTAGGAAATCATAGCATAAGGCCTAGGTCAGGATCTCCAACACGGGCAAGAGATAGTCCAACATCCAATAAGCGTTCATTTGACCTGACGAATGCGCCAAAGGGTCCTAAAAAGATGTCGTTCAAGTTGCCAACGCGTGATAGTGGTAATAGCCGTTATAATAATTCAAGGAGTTATAGACCACAAGGATCAAGCTTCGTTCCCAAAAAAGAAGTTGCACCAAAAGTTGTATCTTTTTTAAAGACATCAAGAGATTCAACAATATATGAGCGTGTCATTCAAGTTGGTGAAGGTACTTATGGGAAAGTTTACAAGGCTAAAAACATCATCACAAGTGAATTTGTTGCTTTGAAAAGATTGAGAATGGAATCTGAGAGAGAAGGTTTCCCCATAACTGCAATGAGAGAAATAAGATTGCTTCAATCTTTCGATCATCCAAATATTGTGAAACTGTTGGAAATAATGGTTGAACAAAAGCAAATTTATATGATTTTTGATTATGCTGATCATGACTTGACAGGTATATTATCAAACCCAGATATAAAATTATCAGATGCCAATTGTAAATATTTTTTCAAGCAGTTATTGGAAGGTATAAATTACCTACATTCTAAAAAAGTCATTCACCGTGATATAAAAGGTTCAAACTTATTGATTGATAGAAGAGGCGTATTGAAAGTTGCTGATTTTGGTTTAGCAAGAAAAATGAAAAAGACAAAACCTTCACAATCTCCTGATTATACAAATAGAGTCATAACTTTATGGTACAGACCCCCTGAATTATTATTAGGGACAACTGATTACGGAAGAGAAGTTGATATGTGGGGGATCGGTTGTTTACTTGTGGAGATTTTCACAAAGAAAGCCATTTTCCAAGCACAAGATGAAATTCAACAATTACATGTCATTTTTGAAATAATGGGTACACCATCATTTGAAGAATGGCCCAAAATTGATAATCTACCATGGTATGAACTGGTTAAACCAAAAGATTTTTATAATTCAACATTTAAAGGGCTGTATGGGTCTGTATTATCAAAGCAATGTTTTGATTTAGCATTACAACTGTTAAAATATGATCCTTCCAAAAGAATAACAGCAAAAGATGCTTTGAAACATGAATATTTCAAAGAATCTCCAGAACCTGCTGCTTTAGATGATGGTGCATTGAATGGTGAATGGCATGAATTTGAGGCAAAGAAGAAGAGAAGAAAAGAAAGAGAAGAACGTAAATTAGAGGAGAAGAAACGTAAAGAAGGCTTAAAAAGACAAAAATTGGATAATGGTGAAGCTGTTGATCCAAATATTGAAACTCAAACTGGTGATAATTCTGAAGCTGATACAACTACTCGTGAAAGGGAACATACTGCCGAACTTGCAAATTCCGAAAGTGATAAAGTAAATGGAAGTTGAACTTTTGTATTAAATATTAATCTAATGAAACCTGTGGGATAAATCATACTGTAGAAACTACAAAACCCATTTCAAAAACGAACTTAAACTTGTATATGTCAAATCAAATTATATAGAAATCTCAATTTTTATATTTAAGCTCTTAATTCCCATTCAATATCAGCTGGTTCAGATGGTAAAGTAACCATTGATTGATAATCCACTGGTGGAAGACCTCTACCTTCTGGGTATCTCCATCTGATAGTCTTGACAAAAGTGGTCAACAACACTCCTAATTGAACATAAGCAAATTGTTCACCAATACATCTATGTCTACCACCACCGAATGGTAAGTATGGAGAGCTGACACCTTTAGAAACAGCACCGAAACCGTAATCAACAGTACTTGAATCTTGTGCAGCTTTTGAAGTTGAATCTTCGTCCCATCTATGTGGATTGTAAACTTCTGGTTGTGGGAAATAGTTTTCATTAGTCATGGCAAAACCTGGTGAGACTAAAACGTGATGACCTTTTGGAACAACATATGAAGTACCTGGAACTGGTAATGGGTTTTTAACTTTTCTGAAAATTGAATGTAATGGCATATGCATTCTTAAAGTTTCCTTGATAACATTGTTAACTAATGGCATTTCTTGTAAATCATCATAAGTAACATCTTCACCGCCGGTAACTTTCATAATTTCTTGATAAATTTCCTCTTGTAATTCTGGTTTTTCAGCAAGATGTAATAAGAACCAAGCAGAAGTAGCAGCAGAAGTATGTTGACCACCCATCAAAACACCAATTAACAAGTTTGCAATTTCTTGATCAGTCATCTTAACACCATCTTTATAAGTTGAAGTTTTCATCAAAGTATCAATCAAATCTCTGTCTTTAATATCATTGTTTTCTCTTCTTTCCTTAATTAAACCCATGTAAGTTGAGGAGATTTTTTGTTGAGCATAATCTCTACGTCTATAACTTGGTAATGGTAAGTTTGGGAAAACAAAATTGATTGGAGTGAACCCTTTATCTAAATCACTGTAATAACCTGCAAAACTTTCATCAAATCTTTCTCTCATTTGTTTACCCATTAAGGATCTTGAAGCAGTAAAGATAGTAATTTCAGGTTGAGTAGCCATAACGTTAGAAATACCATGTTTTCTTTCACCAAATTTAAAGTTTTTGGAGTTTTGGAAATAATGAATAATTTCTTCTCTAATTTGAGGAACATAAGATTTGAAAGCATCTCTAGTTAAAGCACCTTTGACAAATTTCTTTTGTTCCATTAATCTTGCATTTGGACAATCATAAATAACACCATTACCGAAGACTGGGGTAGTTAAATGTCTGTAAGCTTCTTCAGCACTGACATCAGCTAATTTGGAGTTCAAAACAAATTCATGACCTTTTGGACCCAAATAAACAGTCATAACTCTACCTAATAAAACGAAAGCGAAAACATCACCATATTTCTTTTGACAATCGGTAAAGAACTCATAAGGTTGCATACCATATGGGATTGCTGAACCAAACCATGGAATCCAATAAAACACTAATGGTACTCTATCTTTTCTTAAAGAGTACAAAAATTGCCATGTAATATTGTAAATGAACGGGATAAGCACCAGAGTGGAAATTCTTTGATACATTGGCAATTCTAGGAATGCCAAATATAAGTATGTTAAGACATCTTTAGAAGCTTCTATCAACTCAGCAACTTTGGCCATCTTTTCGTAATCTCTCTTCTGTTGTTAATTGCAAAATGAATGTGGAAAGTCTTGTTCTCTTCTTTCAAACAGCTCAATCTAGTAAAAAGTTGAGCACTAAAGAATGGATTAATCAAGAGCCTTAAGACCAGCAACAATATAAGGAGAAACAGAAGGATTCCAAGATGAGATTATATAGAAATCGTAGCTCGTTTAAGTCCAATTTCCTGTTTTGATTTGGATGATTTTTTTTATTTTTCTTTGGTTGTTGCGCGATGGTCCAGTTTTTTTTCCTTGATTGAACGAAGAAAATGATTAAACGAGATTGTGGAATTTCCAAGTAAAAATGGTGGTTTAAGATATTAAAATTGGTTTAAAAGTTGATTTATCCAATTTAAATCATGATGTAAAAATACCAACCGAGTTTGAACTCATTTCATACTATCTTTGTGCTGTAAATTGCTGTTTTGTATGATTCCTCATCGCGTTTCATCAATTACATAGTGCTCTAAATTACGCAAATAGTATCAGTATTACAAAGATCGCTTCCGCCCAAGCTCCTCAGCCCACAGCCTGTGCCTGTCCGCTTAAGAAGTGGTACGAGGACTGCCAAAGTCATCAGATAATGGAGCATTTTGATAGGTTCATGAGATTCTTTATGTGCCAAATGACAGTACAAGAGACGCGTACAACTGAATCGTATGGCAAATGGTCCGTCTGATGACATATTATTATTCTGTGTGACACCATTTCGTAATTCGTGAACGAGCGAGCTTTATGATTATCATGTTTGTTGTTGTTGTTGTTGTTATTGATTGAAGAGCTGATAGAAGGCCAATCAAAGACGAGGTAAGTAATCCTCGAAGAGACTGTGAAGCTGCTAAAACCTGGAGGCTAGTCCAGCTAGATCATTTTAATTTGAGTATCCATACTTGTCACATTTTGACGTTATTTATGATTCATTTTACTTCGTTATACGGGGAAACCATTTGTGTGTTCACTTCAAATAGCCTCTACAACTGATAGACAATATTCTCATAGGGTTCGCTATCCAATTATCTGATACTGATTGAGCTCATGTTCTTGCTGAAGTCCATATCCCTCTTCTGAATTTTTGTTTTCATTTTAATGGTTTCTGGGGAAATGCTGAAATCAAAACAAATAATGAGATTTGGCGCCAAACAAAATTTATTCATGGCTTGTCTTGAAACCTTCTTTTACAATACTATCAACAGAAACCACCCAACCAGGAATTAAACAATCGATTATGATTGTTAGGTTATCAGGGAAAGCGTTAGCGCTATTTGGTATTTGGAACTGTTTTCTATTTCGTTTGGTGCTCAGTGAACCATATGATCAAATCGGCAAATTTCTTGAAGATGAAGAGGAAGAGGAAACTCAACAGTGTGCCTATTATTGGGAACTTGATGAACCAATAAGTCTTGCGTCTTGTGTATGAGCTATACCTTACTAACATCTCCTTTGATTATTGGCAAAGCATTTCCTAACATATCAATTAATTAGAAACCTGAATTTGCTAAATGTTATCAGAGCGGCTATGATGATCAATTCTTATGTGAAGGTTGTTCAGTTGTTGGTGGTGGCAATGAAAAACACTTTACAGAAATCACTGATGCAGATTGTACTTGTACATGTTGTTGGTATCAATATTTGCAAAATTATTGTTTCAAGAGACTTTGTTCGGATAAAAATGAATTTGTTCGTCTTCATGAATACACCAAATCAATCTGTGATAGAGCACCCGTCAGAAAGAATGTCAGACCTTATAGACCGAAAGACAGTAAGTCGTTTGGAAATCCAAGTGAGAAAATTGACATAGATGCTGATGATGAGATTGATGATTATTATGTTGAAGTTGGTGCACAAAGTGTCAACATAGAACTATTTGCTTCCGATAACAATACCATGTACCGCTCATTGCTTGAATCTGAAAAGGAAATGCTTTTTGATAAGCTTTCCAATGTCTTCGACGTTGAAACATTAAGTATTGATGAAGATTTCACTGATCATACCGAGTCCAATGATGAAGAAGATGAAAGAGATCTCACTGATGAGACTCTTGAAAAGAGATCACAAATTTCTGTTGGCTCCAAAGAAATTTCTAAGGCTGCTGAAGCGATGCGTCTTTACAAGGACGATTTCTCGTTTGAGCTTTTAGAAGATGTGTTCTCTGTATACCTTGATAAAGCTGATGATTTTTTCGGTATATTTAAAGACTTTTTAGGTGAAGAGAAATTCAACATTTTTTACAGTGCTTTTCAAGAAGCTAGAGAAAGAGTTTCACTCAAAGCAGAAGATGCTCTCACCATGCCATCTTCAAACAAGCTCTGCTTAGTTGAACCATTCATAGGGACTCTATTTAACCTTGAGGATTCCCAGGTTATGTTGGAGGCTTCGGGTTGTACTGTAAGTGTATTGGTCGATACTGCAAACGCTGGATACTGTCCAACTATTGCACATTGCGCTTGTCAGTGCGCTTTAGGTATTGGTATAAAGAAATGTTTGGAAAGATATGCTGATGTTGAAGAATATAGATACCTTATTGAGGAGTCAAATGAATTACTTACTATGTCATGTGATAGTTCTGCTGCTAATGGAGCTCCTGAACAGATTGATGCTGATTCTATAGTTGTGAAAGCTGAGGCTGAAAGACTTGAAAAACTACACATGGAGGAGAAATTAGACCATCAGTTTAGTTTTTTAAAGAATCTTAAAACCATGGCTAAATCATTGGATTTCGAAAATGAATTGGAGGAATTTAGAACGGAGCTTATTTTGAAGAGTTCCATAGCTAGACCGGTATCTGAAGAGGTGAACGCATTGTCTGCACAGGTTGTTCTTGACAAATGTGAGCTCAAAAATTCTGATTTGAAGGATTATATGAAGTTCAATCTTGATAGTTGTGACATTAGAGATCTATATTATTGCAAAAATCACTATAAGGGGAACAAGTGTCTACAGTTTGAAAAGGACAAAAATGAATGCAATAGTGCTTGTTGTCTTGAAATCAAGATGGCTGAATGTGCTAAGTCTCATTGTCTGAGTAAGAAACCAGTGAAAGAATTTGAAAAAATTGCAAATTTGATTTGTACTGGATATGCTGATCCTCATGTTACCAATGGTGCACCATTTCCAGATGCTGATGAGGATTCAACATCTGACTCTACCGATCAAGAGCAACCCGAAAATGTTTCAGAAGAGGAAGATGATGAAAATGATTGTGACGAGTCTGAAAATGAAGACAATGGAACGCTTTTAGAAGAAAGGTCACTCAGCGAGGATGATGAGCTTGATTATGATGATGATGTTCTCAATAATGTAGGTGAATCTGTTTGTGAATTAGAAGAATTTGAGCCAGGTTATGACACAACAAAATGTGACAAGGAAGAAGTGAAGGGTTGCATAAAAGATGGTATTCAGTTTTTGCTTGATGACCCAGAACATTTCTGCCCTTATTGTGTTAATGATAATGCTTATGATGATTGTCGTTGTGCTTGTTGTTTTGGGAAATATTTTAGTAAAGTTTGTTATGATCCTCATTGTGGAATTTTAACGGAAAAACTTAGATACAAGCGTTATGTCAGAGAAGTCTGCAAGACTAAACCGGTGAAGTATTTGTTTTCCAGAGACTTGAAAGAGCCATTCAAATTCAAAAAATTATCAAGCAGCGAGAAAAAGGTTGAAGATAAATCTGCTATTGTTGATGAATACAAGGATTTGGAGAAGAAAAAGAAGCTTTCCAAGAGCCACCCAAAAACTGACAAAGGTAATCAGAAAAACACCAATGATGAAAGTGCCGAGTTTGATTTGTTTTCTGGCTTCAACGAAGGGCCTAATAGAACTGAACAAGGTGAAAGTGATGTGTACTTTGAATCCCGTCCTGTGAACATCCATAAGGAAAGCCTCGAAGAAAAAAAGAAATCCAAGCTCAGGTATAACTTTAAATTACAAAACCATAAAAAGAGGGAAACTGAATATACTTCTGATGAATATGACGATTTGGATCAAGATGACACACATATCCTTTATGTTCAAGATGAAGTTTCAGGCTCAAAGTTGGCTCGGAGAAGTGCAAAGTCTAAAAATCCCACTGTTAAGATCAAATCCATGACAAGAGCTCAATCATTTGCTAAAGGAGGAGGTATGACAAGCAAGGGTAAGAAGAAAGATGTAAATAAAGGCCCTGCGCATATAAAAGCACAAACAAAACTCACAACATCTGCTAAAGCTTTTGGTCTTGATCCAGAAAAGCAATTGAAGAAGAAGAAACCAAATAAACCTAAAAAGACTAAAGGAGGTTCTGACAAGTATCTTGTTGATGGACCAAAATTTATTGGAAAGTTCCCTAAAGATGAAGATAAAGGAATGCCAAGTCGCTCAAGAGTTGTTAAAACCCCTGTTATTGATGATTCTCCCAAAGACTTCGAAAGAGATCAAAGCATTTATGATGATGACCATACTCTTCCTTTTGATGCAATCAATGAAGGTGTTGAGGAAGAGGAATTTCAAAATCAAGAAGGTGAAGTGAATGATGAATATGATGAATTTGGCGACAGTGATAGCTCATACAAGAACAAAACCCCTTTCAATTTGGGGAAACCAAACTCTCCAGGAAGAAGAAAACCTTCTTCAAAAGTGCCTAAGCTTAATAGAAGAATGGATGTGTTTCAAAGAGATGTTTTATAGAAAAGAAGTTTTGATGCTAATGCAATTGAAGATGATATAGTTGAGGATGGAATAAAATTTGATGGTGCCAATGTTTCTAATATCAGCACTACTCCTAAATTAAGAACCATAACAAGAACCATTAAGCACACAAATATATCAACCAGTCCATCTTCAATGACCTCTGCAGATAAAGAGGAAGATGTATTTGGTATGATGGTGATTGGTGGCAAAACGACAGATGAATCTGATGTTTCAACACTGACCACGACGGTTTCTTCAGGGTTTACAAGTTACGTTACTCAAACCAGCTATCTAACTATTACAAGTGTGCTTCCAAGAGAGACAACTATCACCAAAACTATAACAGATCACTCGTCTAGTATATCCTCAAATTCTTCACCACCAGCTACTGTGACATCTATAAAAACAAGGTTTAGACCAACAACTTTTACCGAAACTGAATATGAAGATTTTAGCACAGAAACAACCACTGAATATGATGATACATTAACAGTGACTATTCCTAAGAAAACTATCACGAGACATAAAGGAACAACTACTGATACTGATACCCTTGAAGTGACTTCAACGTTCACAACCAGCAAAACCAAAACGATCCCAAACATTACCATTACTGAGTTTGAAGAATCTGACCAAACCGTTACTTCGATCTTGACCAAGTCAGTTACGTTGACTGAAACTCAATATGAAGATATCATCACCAAAACTGTCACCACATACTCCGGAGTTATCAGTGAAACTGTTGCAAAGAAAACCATAACGGTGTATGAAGATTCAATTGAGATTACTGAGACTGAAACTGAAACTGAATATGAAACTAAATTTAAAACAAAATGGTACCCAGAGGAAACTGTAACTGAATATGAAGATGAAGAAACCATTACAGAAATCAAATATTACCCAACAACCACAACAGACTCAACTACAGTTACTACGACTACGACTGCTACCACAACTCTGACGAGTACACTGGCTGGTAGAGCAAGACCACAACCTAATGTTAATGTTGCTCCATTGTTACCTAGAAACTATGAAGATGAAAATGGAAACATCACAGAATCAATTAAATCTAATATAACCAACAAAACTGGTAACAAGAGTTCAATGGCTGATCAATTAAGACCTGGTAAAGAATTCACATCAGATGGTAGCAAACCAAATTTAAGCGTCTTTTTGGTTGTCAGTGGAGTCATTACAATTGGTGCTATAGCTTTATCTTTGTATACTTATTCATTAGTTGTTGAAGATGATGAAGATGATGAAGATGAAAAACAGAAAGAGCTTGATAGTGAATCTCATGAGACTGATAAAGGTGATATGTTTCATGAAGTTGAAGTGCAAGGTTGAAATTGTGTTTATATGCTAATAAAGTAATGCTTAATTATTACCTCCGTGTATATCCGCAAGCTGTAGACGAAACAAAAACTTGAAGTAACATGAGCGCGACACTGATGAGCGACTAAAGAGCAAAGAAAAGTCACAGCTACGCCATGCCAGATGTTTCATTGGTCAAGGAATTGTTTACATCGTGTACTGATAATGGTTATTCCAAAAAACGGTTAACTTTCTCACCAGATATCCCAGAGTTTAATTCCAATTTCCTCTTTGTTGTTGATGAACAAGATGGTCAATCACTTGAGATTATAGTGTTCAAATCCACCATAAAGAAGATATTCAAAGAGTCACATGATTGTTTTGAGCATGTCTTAACAAGACGAAGAGATGGTTACTTAAACTGGACAGAGTATGTCAATGAAATTGATGATTCAGAGACTTTGGATCTATACTATATGACACTAGGAATGATGCTAATAACCAATGATAATCATACAATAAATCAACTTCATTGGGTGTTGGTGGAGAAGATAACTTCCAATACTTTAAAACAATTCACATCATTACATCTCGAGCCAACCCAGTTCCTAATAAAAGAAGTCTCATTCATTGAATTATTACTCGGTTCTAATAACAACAAATTGAATAAATCATCAACATTATGGCATTTTTACAAACGATTCTTTGTGATGAATCACCTTCCCGAATCGGATTTCCTTGAAACAGCATTGCTCTCAGCTGGATCACATCCCACAAATTATTATTCATGGAGTTTTATACGATGGTTGGCTAAATATACTGAACTAACTAAAGATGATGAATTGTTCAATAAAATTCTGAGTAGAGTGAGACAATTTTGTCAAAAGCATACTAATGATATAGCTTCTTGGGATTGCCTGGTTGATGTTTTATGTTATGATGAATACGCGATATCATTTGTTAGAGATGAGGTTGTCAGGCTAGGAGGATGTGTTGAAAGTAAAACAAGTGAAGATGTATCCATTGATATTGAAGGTTATGTTGATGGAATATTTGAGTGGATTGATAAAGCATGTATTCAGTCCACGGCACCATACCATGCACTAAAGAAATTAATATGTCAACGTGATGATAAATTATCTGGAGTGTTAACAAGGATTCAGTCAAGATTGAAATTGAGACAAGTTTCATTCAAGAAAGAATTGGAGGCATCAGGAATATCATATGAGATATTTAATGAATCATTTAAAACAAATAAATACACCCAGGATGATTTAATCTTTCATGAAAAGCTTGTACAATTCATAAATTGGGAAAGGGTGCTGAATTATTGGAATGATTACAATACACAAAGGAAAGGATAACATCATTATAAATAAAACAGAGGACTAAACAACTGTATAGTGAAAAAAAAAGAAGGAATTTGAGCTCATTTTTGATCATCATTATGTAATTTTTTATAAGCTGGTATATCAAATTCAGGAGTAAATTGTTGACCAGGTAATATAGGAGCAGTTTCTAAAATCAATTTAGTTATAGTTTGAGGATCAGCATCAGGAGGGATATGTTTGTATAAATAATATTCTAAATCATCATTTTCCACAGATTTGAATAATTTTGGATGAAATTCCACACCATCTTCTAATCTTTTCTTTGATGCAACTCTTTGAGCATCTTCAATTTTAAATTTTTCATCAGTGGCAACTTCATGATTTCTTTCACCAAGGGCATCTGTAACTTTTTTCCATAATCTTCTTGATTCAAATTCACCTTGTTCATTTAAAGGTCTAACTTTTGGAGGTAATGGAGTTGCTTTTGTTGCATCGAAAAAAGTTTTTTTAGAACCACCATTAATTAAATCTTTAATATAAACCACATCATTCCATTTACCAGAAATTTCAAATAATGATTCATTGTTTGAATTTTTAACAACACCTTCAATTGCATCATAAGTCCCCGAAATGAAACCTTTTGTCTTAAATTCAATATCTATAGATAATCCAGTATTTGGACATTTAATAATCATATGATCACCTAATTCTATTCTCATTTTACCAAATAATATACCTCTAGCATACATATTTGGTTGAGTTAGTGTATATTTTTCAAACTCACCATTTTCATCAATAAAATCCAAAAATTTTAAAACAGTAACACCATCCATCATTGCAGCTGTGGAATTCCCCAAAAATCTTGATTTTGGAATACAAGCACCATCTACTCTAATTTTTTTATTTGGAATCATATAGAAATATGAAGATTTTGGAGGATGATGAGAAGTTTGTTCAGAAATATAATAAGCTTGACCAGCATCATTTGGTAAATCCCAGAAAGCAGTGAAGAATTCACCCAATACAGGGTTTAAAGGTTTCTTTACAGCCTTTGGGGCAATATGCCAACCTGAAAGGTACCATTTAACGACTAATAAGAATCTTTGTATATAATCTTTTGTTGCATGAGCTTCAAGTAAAATATCTGGTTGTTGTAACTGATTTGTAATTCTTTCCAACATTGATTTTCTTTCAAGGATAAAAGTTGGTAATGTTATTCTTGATAAATCACAGCCTGGTCTTAATTGAGAGATGATACCCATTAATATACTTTGACCTTGATCATCAACTTCATCAATATCTTCAGTATTGACATTGTTACTATTTTGAGCAACAGATGAAGATGATGACGTTGAATCTGTCAATTTCATTTTCAATTTGGATAATGGCATTGTTATGAATATCTATTAATTTATTCTATCAAGATATGGAAATAAGGGTGGTAGTTGTTGATGAAGGCAAGTATGTAATCCCGTTGCGTCCTTTTTAATCACTTTAATTTGGGATTCGGAAGGGTTCAAACCAAATTTAACAGCACAAAATCAGCTCAATTGGGTGATTAATACCTGTTAACTATTGTAATTGGACAAGTACCGATGAAATCCGAGAGTCCTTATAGTGTTATTTCAATTTGAAATACCCTTTTTCCTGTGTTTAATTTGTTAAATTTAGTCAATTTCAGTTTTTATCATCAAGTTTTTTTTGGGATTTTTTGCCCTCCTTCAAAAAAAGGGTTTTTCGCGAAGATTGAATTCTGATGAGTCAGCTGTACAGCCATGATTACGTAAAACTAATAACGAATAAAATGTATTTCAATTTAATAACTTATAGATCTTGGAGATGGAATACTATTATAAACCTCAACGACTTGGAGAGCCTCCTTTTCATGTTTCCTACTCATCATGAGCATCATAATGGTGGAAACACTCTGCAATAATAGGGAAATACTAATCAAATAATTACAAATTTTCAAACCCATGTTAAATTGACCAAATTGAATCATTGCAATATCATTTAGTTGAAACTCTGTAAAGATGATTAATGTTGTGGATATGATGAGATTGATCAGAGCAGTGACCAAGTATTGACGTAGTGGTGTGTAGACATTTGATTTGAAAATAGCAGTTATATAACACCATTGTGAAAATATAAATGAGATTGAAATCAAGATTGCCAATATTGGGATGGTAGTGCTTGATGTTGATGGTTCCATGAGTGGTCTTGCCATGACGGTTTCTGCACCTAATAGAGTTGCTAGGATAGGTGCACTTAGATTATTATCCTTTTTAGTTAATGAACCAATATGAGTTGTTGTGTTATTTGTACTTAAAATTGGAGAAACATCTTCAGATTTGAAATCACCTTGAGAAGTCCGTATTATGGCAACTGGGCCTGTGGAATTGATTTGTGAAGGGGATTGAATAGCTGATGTTATTAAAAGTTGGTTTTCATATTGATCAAAGGGGTCAATCCTTGTTATAAAACAACGTATGATGTAAATTGTGGAAGTTATCAATAAAGGGATTGTGAATAAAAGTTTGAAATAGTCTTTTGATTGGATATTTAAGAATGTGAAGCCTGAGAATGTTATTATTGAAAGCAGGAAATATGATTTATAAAGTCTTCTAAGTTTTGATGAGTTTAGGAATTGGTTTTTGAATAGGTCGAATATTTGATTGTTCTGTATCACCAGATTTGCCAGCATTGCAATGTTGAATAGTTGTAGAAGGAGCATGGTGGTGAGGCTATGAGATGTTGGTGATGATATGAAGCAAGGATACCACTGTGTATATTTATACTGGGTATTATTAATGTTGATAACGGTTCTGTTGTTTGAATTCGTTGATCACAAGTGAAAATTCCACACTTTTTTTCATTTTTTTCGAAATTTCGCAGTTCTGCAAGAAGATAAGAATTTGATAAGCTGATAGGTCTTAGTCAGCAGACAGGATTAATAGAGATAAGGGGGGGTTGACAGGGAAACGAGTAGGTAATTGGTATAGTTATGGTGAGGGTATTGGTAATGGTAATGGTGGTGTATTATTGTATTGGTTAAAGGTGTAGTGGTTGTGTTTGAATTGGTGTATTCCCAATGGAGCAAGTGATCAGATGAGCTTTGGTTGATATTGCAATTGGACACTTTGAAGACCATTAAAAAACCATTTCATTTTAATAGATTAATTAGCTATCTCTAACCATTATCTCGCCAACTTCACTAACTCAATCCACTTCAATCTCACCTTAACATCATCTAATTCCTCTATAACTACGCCCTGGTTTACCCTCCTTTCGCAGTTCCCATTCGCGAACGCTTTTTGTTGACGTTTCCAAAACTTTTTTCTGATTCGCCTCCTTTAAAATGAACAACAACAACATCAACAACAAGCAGCCAATTCAATTCAATTCAATTCACTTCACAATGGATGAGACTTTGATTGCCACCATCAACAAGCTACAGGACGCCTTGGCCCCATTGGGTGCTGGATCCGCCTCACCAGTCGATCTCCCTCAAATCACAGTCGTTGGTTCTCAATCCTCTGGGAAATCTTCAGTATTGGAAAACATTGTCGGTAGAGATTTCTTACCAAGAGGTACTGGTATCGTTACAAGAAGACCATTGGTGCTACAATTGATCAATAGAAGAGCTACAAAGAACCAATCAAATCAAGATTTATTAAACCTTTCTCAAGAATCCGAAGTTAAAGGTCAATCCGAGGATAATGCTCAAGAATGGGGTGAATTCTTACATTTACCTGGTAAGAAATTCTTCAATTTTGAAGAAATTAGACAAGAAATTGTAAATGAAACTGATGCTAAAACTGGTAAAAATCAAGGTATATCATCTGTTCCAATTAATTTAAGAATCTATTCTCCACATGTTTTAACTTTAACCTTGGTTGATTTACCAGGTTTAACTAAAGTCCCAGTTGGTGATCAACCAAAAGATATTGAAAAGCAAATTAAAGATATTCTTTTAAAATTCATTTCAAAACCAAATGCTATTATTTTGTCAGTTAATGCTGCAAATACAGATTTAGCAAATTCTGATGGGTTAAAATTAGCAAGAGAAGTTGATCCAGAAGGTACAAGAACCATTGGTGTCTTGACAAAAGTTGATCTTATGGACCAAGGTACTGATGTTATTGATATCTTGGCTGGTCGTGTTATCCCATTAAGATATGGTTATGTTCCAGTTATAAATAGAGGTCAAAAGGATATTGAAGGTAAGAAAACAATTAGAGCTGCATTACAAGATGAAAAATCATTTTTCGAAAACCATCCATCTTATAGATCAAAAGCTCATTATTGTGGTACTCCATATCTAGCTAAAAAATTAAATTCAATTCTTTTACATCATATTAAACAAACTTTACCAGAAATCAAATTAAGAATTGAAACTGCCTTGAAAAAATACCAAAATGAATTGGCTCAATTAGGTCCTGAAACCATGGATTCTCCAAATTCAATTGTTTTAAGTATTATCACAGATTTTTGTAAAGATTATAATGGTATATTAGAAGGTGAAGCTAAAGAATTATCAAGTATGGAATTAAGTGGTGGTGCAAGAATTTCATTTGTTTTCCATGAAATTTATAAAAATGGTATAAATGCTCTAGATCCATTTGATCAAATCAAAGATACTGATATTAGAACTATAATGTATAATAGTTCAGGTGCTGCTCCTTCATTATTTGTTGGTACTCAAGCTTTTGAAGTTTTAGTTAAACAACAAATTCATAGATTTGAAGATCCTTCAGTTCGTTGTATTAATTTAATTTTTGATGAATTGGTTAGAATCTTGACTCAAATTTTACAAAATCCAAAATATTCAAGATATCCAGCTTTAAAAGAAAATTTATCAAATTCTTTTATTGAATTTTTAAGACAAGCTTTAATCCCAACAAGTCAATTTGTTACAGATATTATTAGATCAGAGGAAACTTATATCAATACTGCACATCCAGATTTATTAAAAGGTTCTCAAGCAATGGCAATTGTTCAAGAAAGATTACATCCAAGACAAGTTCAAGTTGATCCAAAAACTGGTAAACCATTACCAAATGCTGCTACATCACCAGCACCATCAATTAATGAAGATGATAAATCAAGTGGTGGATTTTTCGGTGGGTTTTTCTCATCTAAAAATAAAAAAAGATTAGCTGCAATGGAAGCACCACCTGCAGTTTTAAAAGCTTCAGGTGCAATGACTGATCGTGAAACTCAAGAAACTGAAGTTATCAAATTATTAATTCAAAGTTATTTCACAATTGTTAAAAGAACCGTTGCTGATATAATACCAAAGGCAATTATGTTGAAATTAATTATTAGATCCAAAAATGAAATTCAAAAAATTTTATTAGAAAAATTATATGGAGCAAATGATTTGAATGATTTAGTTAAAGAAAATGAAATTACAAAACAAAGAAGACAAGAATGTTTGAAAATGGTTGAAGTTTTAAAACATGCTAATGATATTGTTTCATCTGTTTAAAGAAAGACTCAGATTTTAGAATATATAAATAATAAAGAATTGTACATCTTTGAAAACAGATAGACACCTATTCTTTACAACCTTGAATCACATTTTGCTCAAACTGTTTCATCAATAAATCCAATTCATCCTCATCTATATCACATTTAGGAACACTAACAACAATATTCAAGCCACCATTCAACAAATCCGTAGCACAACAAAAGCAAAATTTAAAATAAGTACCATTCATATGTTGAGCAAAGACAACATCCTCAAATGCAAATTCACCATTAGAATTATTCACAACACCCACATTTGAAAACATTGTATTTCCCTTTTTCCCCTGTTTTAACTTATCTTTGAAAAACCCATCCAAATTATGCTTATTTGCCAATTTATCACTTGTTATAAACCCCAACCTAAACAATGCTCTCTTTGTACTCACCCCCCATTTCATATACTTGTGAACATCACGAACAGACGACCATTTAAAATCATTCATAATTTCCCAATACGTATGTGTAGAACACGCATGTAGTCCATACCTATACTTTTCCCGGTCAACATCACTAGAGATGTAATGACGAGTATCCACAGCTGTAATTATATCAACATTTGATGTGTTTCCAAGTAGGTTTATTTGCTTTTGGGATACTAACCACGCGGTTTCAAGGTATGGTGTCATTGTCACATTATTGGACTTGATCATTTTTTGAATTTGGGATAATTGTTCAGGTGGGATCTTGATTGATTTGTAATGGTGTGCGTGATTGATGGTTGGTTGGATTAATTCACAAGTTTTGGAGATTTTGTACATGGTATATAAGAATTCTGGATAGTACCAAAGTGGTGGCTTGTGTGAAATTATTGAGTCTAGTGCAGGTGGTAAAGTTGGTAAAAGATGTTGGTCTGTTTGATAATCAAGGATTAGTTCATTATCATAGTCTATCTCTGGGATTGAATTTGTTGAAGATAGTTTGGTCAATTGATGTTGAAGATCTTGGAAAAAGTTTTTGGCAGTTATACCATCTGATGAAATATGATTTGAGATGTATCCTAATGTGAAATCATCCAAGATGATCAATTTCCAGAATGGATGACCATGGCCATATGGTAGAACGATATCATTAATATACTCCATTCTCTTTGCTGCTTCTTTGGGGACATTTCCACCATCTATGAATAAATCTTTAAACTTTAGCTTATCCAAGATCTTGATATAATCATGTTGTGGTTTTGGTGTAACCAAGTCTGAATAATCAGTGTTCACGACAGTACACCCCATCAATGGATTCTGGAAAATGATTTTTTTAACAGCGTGATATAATAAACCTTTGTTATTGATTTTGTTTTTGAATTTAACAACCATTGTGAAATTTTTGTATAGCTTTTGACGTTGAGCTAATGCAAAGAAGTTTTCAACTGGTGATAATCTTCGAGCATGCCCTTTGGAAAGCATTGTGTCTAGAGATTTCTGTATAAGAGAGCTCATTTTGCAAGGGTTGTCAATTGTGAACAGATGGGAATGTTCTATGAATTGGGATCTGTTGTGGGTTTTATACACCTTTTGCTTCAGATCTGTGTTTTGATTTTCTAATCCTCAATGAATGTGCTATTGGCACCAAAACCCGTGATCGACTAGTTATCAAAAGAATGGAATATGTCTATCTATTCTCTGATTTCTGATTTGGTGAATTGTACACTATGACAACCGTAGCCGTTTTATTGTAGATGTCTCAAATAATTCATCCACAATTTCTATGAATTTGAACTAAAAAATGCATCGTCAGAGAATGTCGGATTTAAGCGGACATTTAACATCTATTAAATCAAAACTATTCACAACACTCTCCAATCAAATTCTCCTTGAAAGCCAATACAGCCTCATTAAACTTTGCCTTACTGAATGAAGCATTCCCAGTACTACTGATCACAAAATTCAATCCACCTTTCCTTGTAGTGATTGCATTTATCGAAAAATCATAAAAAGATCCATTGAAATGCTGAGTAAAGATGCAATCTTCAATATCAACCACTTCTTTCCTATTTGATTCAACAACACCCAAGTTAGAGAATAAAGTATTGGTTCTAATTTTATCATGCTTAGTCTTTCTAACTTCAACATCCAAATTCTTGTTCCCAACAACTTTATCTAACGTCAAAAACCCAAGTAGATATAATGGTCTCTTTGTGTTAACACACCATTTGATGTAATCATTTAAATATCCGACCCAACTCCATGTGAAATCTTTTATATTATGGAAATACTTGTTTGTCGCTGATGTGTTCAATCCATACTTGTACTGATCAATGTTTTCCTGTGGGAAATACTGCCTAGCATCAACAGCCAATAGGAAATTTGTCACTTTACTGTTATAGACCCCTGTTTTATAAAGCGCATTCAACCAAGCAGCTTGAATATATGGTGTTAATGTTATTTTCTTATCTTGCTCATGTTCTATCAAGTCTTGTTTGATTCTGCTTAGTTCTGAAGCTGAAATGTGAATTGTTTGATAATTTATCGAGACTCCTGGTGAAGCGTGTGAGTTTGGACAAAATTTACTAATGATGAATCTATTGAGCAAGTACTCTGGTATGAAGGAGTATGGTGGTGCATAATCGATGACTGAATCACTTGGATCTGGTAAATGCGTTAAATTTGTTGAGTCTGTGTTATAGTTGAAGAGTAAAGATTTTGGTGATATTGGTGGAATCTCACTTCCGTATAGTTTGGAAAATTGAATTTGAAGGTCTTGAAAAAGATTTTTACCAGTAATACCATCAGCTAAAACATGATTTGAAATATAAGCAAGTGTGAATTCATCAATTATAGCTAATCTCCAGGTTAATTGATCATCACCATACGGTAGCACAATACTATTCATCGCTTCCAGGAGTTCACAGCCTTTCAATGCCTTGATCTCTTCATCCAATTCATACATCACATCACTTAGTTGAACTTTATCAACAACCTTGGTGTAATCATGAGGTCTAGGCTTTACATGATCCTCAATTTTTTGTTCCACTATAGCAGCACTTAAAAGCGGATATTCGACCAATATAGGTCGAAGAGCATGGAATAATAGAGCTTCATCATTTATCACTTTGTTGTATTTACAAATGATACTGAATGATTTGTAGATTTTTTCACGTTGATAAATACCAAACAAGTTTTCAACATGGCCCATTGGTCTTGCATGTCCATTTTGGATCTTGAGCTCCAGTTCTTTTTTAGATTTTTCATCTTGGTTGACCATGTATTTGAAGATTGGTTGTTCCATGTTAAAGATATTATTGAATTGAGCCAAGATAATTGATAGGATTGACTTAGTTTAGCTCATGCTATAGTTTTTATAAAATTCATGTCACAATCACTTGATGCAGCTTGATCAACGTTTTTTTAGACGTTTCAAAAAAATTAGCTCAACAAAAAATATTGGATATGAATGATATTATTGGACATTGTGAATTATTATTTATTGCTTATCGTTTCAGCTATATCTGGTATCTGATACTACCTGAAGATAAGAGTATCTCTGCAAAGTGAAATTGTGGGCTCTTGATATAAGTGTGTTCTTTGGGTTGTGAATATTGGACTGTTCTCATTTGCTCAACACTTCACGGAGTTCCAGACCATTCAACGTTCAAATGGTTGGTATTAATATATCACCATCAACTCTTGATCATTAAAAGCATTTTGCTCCAATGATAAAATAGTTATTGTACCTAACAAATATCAATCAATCGTATTATTGTCTTTATTGAATGTGTTACTGAGATTTAATACCCCTTTTTTTCAACGGTTTTTAAAGCCCCTCCCTCGAATGGTCGATACACAAACTCAAAAGCCATATACATGGCAGAATACAACACTTGAATTACTGTCTTTATATACTAAAATGTTACCAATATTGTTTTATAATCATAAACATATCTACAAGATTTGAGGATTTGAAAGAATCTATTGATAAAATGCTGGTAATATCACAAGAAGAATTGAAACATGCGATCCTGAAAGAAGAATGAAAATTAAATATCTTGAAAGTCAACTAAGCAGTTGCTTCCGGGACACCATTATCAACAGTCTGGGTATAAGTGTAATCACCAGTACAAGCAAAGTCATAATTAGCAGTACCGTAAAGTGTTTCTAAATATTCCACAAACTTATCAAACTCACACCACCCATCAACTCGACTTTCACAATATTCAGGGATATTGGCACTTAAGGATAAAGTGTTGTCATTTAAGATAGCATGGACATATTTAGTTGAAGATGAACCTTCCTCAGATTCAGCACTTCTATCCACTGGAACTTTAGAATCACATTCTATAACTTCAAAAGCCAACTGTGCAGCAAATGGAGTGATTTTGGAGATATCGAAAAGATGTGTATCTTGCTCAGGACCTTTGAAAGTCCAATTAGTCTTGAATTGTTCAAATCCTAAAGCTGTAAGTATACCAACAATTTGTGAATCATGAGTGAAATCCATATAAATTGATTGATCCAATGGGAAAAAAATTGGATCAGAATCCAAAGTTGAGTTTTGTTCAGCTTGGGTAGATGCATTATAAGTTTGATTTGTTAATCTATCTGTAAATTCTTCAACCCAACCAGCTCCCAATGCACGGCCTTGTGGGTTCCCAAATGATGAACTGACATAGTTTGAAACAGATTGATAATATCCATAATTTTCCCATTCTTTTTGAGAAAACAACCCACAAAACTTGGAAAATCCAATATTATTTGTTTCATATGCACAAATCTTTTGCAACTCATATAAATCACTAGTTGTGAAATTGAACCCTTGAACATTAGTATTGAAACGTTGCACAGCATCTGATAAATATTTAGCTGTAAAATTGGCTATTTGTTCATATCCAATTTTCCCATAAGTATGACCATTATTCTCACACATATCCCAAGCTGCTAAACTATTATTAAACCCAGCTTCTTCAATCAATAATTCTAAATCAGCATACTTCTGCCAATCCAATCCGAAAAACCCAGTCAAGAAATATTCAGCAGTCATTGTCATTCTTTCCTCTGTTGTAGACCTTGTTACAATCTTGTCAAAATTCTCCCAATCAAACAATTCACCATAACGGAAGAATGATTTAACACCATTATTAAACAATTGATTATTACCCAATGTGGTCAAGATGTTTACACCTTCTTTATATTCCCATTTATTCAAAAACTCTAAATCACCATGAGCATTAAAAGTTCCATTCCCCTTTGCATATCTTAGCCTTTCAGGGAATTTGAATGGAGAATCAGGAGCTCTTGAACCATGTCTTTGAACAAAATGTAATTGTTTAATAGAGCACTGACCAGGCAATGCATAGTTATAAACTCCCCACCCATCCTCAGAGACAAAATATGGTGATAGGGTACCCATCATTTGGAAAATGTTTTGATCATCATCTTTATGATCAAAACTTTGTACTGAAGTTTCAATTGGGTTTGGATAATTGTAATGCTTTGTTGGCACACCAGTTGCAATTGCACCTATGTTGTCGGTTTGAGCCAAGAAGGGTGCCTTACCTGTAGATGTTGGACCCAGGTAGCCTATATCTGTTGGGAACAAGTTTTCAGAAGTTGAAGCATCATCTTGTGAAGATATTGGAGCAGCAGAGACAGCTACTAAAGCCAATGCTAGTTGGAGTAACATTTGAATAATGGAGTTTTGAATATGTTTGGGAATAGGAATTAAGGTACTTTTGAGTTGAATTTATACACCAACAGAAATCAGTGGCTGCTGATAGATCTTCCTACTCATCGATGCATCTTTTTACAATTGAGTGAGGTAAATCCTGTAACTTAATAACGTAAATTAAGTGCTCAAGCAGGAGAGCCCTATAATTCGCGAATTCCTGATAGGTGAAAATTATTTCTCGAGATCCCAATTAGGAAAGAGGTCTTCAGATAACAAAATTTATTTATTTAACACATTCACCGAGTAAATTCTGTTTAAACACATCAACAACCTCTTGGAACTGATCCATAGTGAATGGAGCACTTTCAGGGACACTAATCACAAGATTCAATCCGTTTCTTTGAGTAGCTGCTGCATTAATTGAAAAATCATAGAAAATCCCATTAAAATGTTGACTAAATGTACAATCTTGTATAAGGATCCCATTCTCTTGATCAATTTCATCATTTGATTCCATCAATCCCATGTTTGAGAATAATGTATTTGTTCTTAATCTGGCCCTTTGACCTTTCTCCACAGCGACATCGAAATTTTTATTCTTGTAAAATTTTTCCAATGTCACGAGTCCAGGTTGATATAATGATCTTTTAGTCTTTAAGCACCATTTAATATAAGTATTGAAATAATCAACCCACCCCCAAGTGAATTCTTTAACATGGAAGAAAAACTTGTTTGTTAGTGAAGTGTTTAACCCATATTTATATTTATCTTTATCATCACCAGGGAAATAAATTCTCGTATCAACAGGTAGTGCGAAATTTGTTATTGATGAGTTGAAGATTTTCGTCTTGTATTGAGCATTTAACCAAGCAGCCTGGATATATGGAGTTAGTGTTATTTTTTTATCCCTTTCGTTATCTCTTAGATCTTTTTTCATCTTGGCCAATTCTTGAGCAGTTATATGAATAGTTTTATAATGGATCGGTTCACCACATTTTGGAGGTGTATTTGAACCAAATTTTGAAATGACAAATTGATTCATGACAAGTTCAGGGAAGAACCAATATGGTGGTGTATAATCAATGATATTATCAGTGGCATCTACTAATTTTCCCAAATGTTCTTTATCAGCTTCATAGTCAAATATGATTGAATCATTTGTTATATTTTGTGAATTGATTAATGATGGATCTAATTTGGAAAATTGTGTTTCCAAATCTTGGAAAAAATATTTACCAGCAATAGCATCAGCAAGGATATGGTTTGCGATATAGGCTAGTCTATAATCATCAATAACTACCAATTGCCAAGTTAAATTACCTTTACCATATGGGATAACAATATCATTTAGGGCATGATATAAATCAGCATCATTCAAATGTTGCAAGTCTGTGTCATTAACATCTATGAATAAATCTTTATATTTGATTTCATTCAACACTTTAATATAATCATGTGGTCTTGGTATAACGGAATCATCAATTTTCTGCTCCACCAAAGTTGTGGCTAGTATTGGATATTTTAACAATAATGGTCTTATAGCATGGAATAACAGATTCTTATCATTTGAAACTTTCTTGTTGAATTTCGTAACCACACAAAATGATTTGTAAAGATTAACACGTTGACTTATGGCAAAGAAGTTTTCCACATGGCCTGTTTCTCTAGCATGTCCATTTAGTATTTTTGTTTCTAACTCCTTTTTAGATTTTTCATCATTATCAACCAAGTATTTGTAAATGTCTTGTTGAGCCATTGTGGGTAGTTATTCTTGGCTAGTGTATTCACCCTGGTTAAGGAGTAAAAACGGGAAGCCACCATTATTTATAGCATTCTGCTGGGTTTGAATTTCAATTGTAGGGAAATGCAGCCTTTAATTGGATAGACAGTGCTAAAAAATGCAGATAATCAGATCTGGCCGGGTTGAAACCAGAACAAAGTGACTGATTTAACAACATAGGATAGACATTAATTCAATGATAGAACACCTCCTTTTATACCACTTCCACCTCACAATTTGATGCTTTTCCATCTTTTCCAACTTGTCAAGAACTGAATTGGTGAAAACTTTTTGGGCGCGAATGCGTTAGGGATCGACAATACGTTGGTTGACCGTTTGAAGATTGGAATTAAATTAATTAATCGACTAATGATAATTTTTAACATAGCTTATAACTAAATGTCTCCAAGACTGGCTCCCTTTTGAATCCAATAACTCTCTGTGTTTGCTATTGATCAATTTGTTCTTTAAGATAACTGATCTATTAATTAATCTGAGACTCTCCCTTTAAAGCCGAGACCTGCAAACGTCAAATTAATTAGATGTTCCTGAATGAACATCACCTGAAAGCTCACTTGAATAGTAACTTGAATACAACCTACAATCCAATAACCCATAAAATACAATATGCAAATTAAAACAAATATATTAAACTTTTCCTTCTTTAACGAGTCGATCAACAACTCAATACAAATACTTGAAACTTGGATGTCTATCACCTTGTAAAACAATAGTCCGATCATCTTGTGCGAAAAACTCTTGTTTATAAGCTTCAGTGCCCTTTTGAACATTTCTTCTTTTCAAAACTCCAAGAATAACACCCATCAAAACAATACTGAAAACTGTGAATGCAATACCAACACTAAGCCCAGTTACAAATCTTGGAGAATCTTTAGTTAGGAATAAAAAAGTTGCAATAATACCACCAATATTACCAAACCCAATTTGATTAGCAGTACCTAAAGATTTTCTTAAATGACCACCAAAATTCAAAGCAGTCCAACACACTAATGAGGGCATTGAAGAATATAACCCAGTAGCTGTCAAGAAACAACCAGCATAACGACCATTAGGACTATCATGCATTCCCAACACTAGAGCTAAACCAACAATGGCCATTATGGCTGATGAAATTGCAAAAGGGGATCTAACTTTGAAATAATCAGACAATACAGCAACAACATTTGTATAACCAAAAGCAGCTAACCATGGATAAACAGAATGTTGATTAGCAGTGACACCTGAATAACCCATTTCTTTAATAATGGTTGGAGAGAAATAAGCATAAGAATAAGATGGAATGATTAATCCAAAATAAGCTAATGCAGTTAATGCAAATAATGGATCTTTAAAAGCTTTCAACATTTCCATGAAACCAGTCTTCTCTTCAAAACCTGAATTGATTGTAGAATGGATTTTCAATTTTTCTTTTAAAAATTCACGTTCATTTGAATTTAAAAATCTAGCAGTTTCTGGGAAATCTGGGATAATGAAGAATAATAAAATTGCTAAACCTGCAGTGAAAGTCCCCTCGATAATGAAAATCCATTGCCATGAGGCATAACCATGAACACCATCTAAATCATGAATTCTATAAGCAATAGCACCACCAGCAGCACCTGCAAGACACGTACCTGAGAAAAAACCTGAAAATCTTTTTTGACCTTCAGAACCTGTATAATAATTTGCAAGTAGATAAAAAATTGCACAAAAAGTTGAAGATTCAGCACAACCCAAGAAAAATCTACAAGCAATCAAACCTGAAAAATTTGTCACAAACCCCATAGCTAATGTAATCATACCGAATAGGAAAATACAACCAGATAACCAAATATGAGGGGCAATTTTTTTCAACAAGAAATTTGAAATTAATTCAAAAAACACATATGGAACGAAAAAAACAGTTAATGCAGTATTGAATTGATTCCCATGAAGATTTAAATCCTTCTCCATCCCATAAACTTTTGCATTTGATATGTTTATTCTATCCAAAAATGCAAGAAAGTATAACAACACTAGTGGGGGAACAACACAAAGATCAATTTTCCAAGTTAATTTTTTTTCATTAATGTTTAAATCTGAAGCTAATTGATTTGTACGTTCTTGTTTTTCAAAATCTGATAAATATTCTTGATGAAGATGATGATTGCTTTTTTCAATATCTGTTTGTTGTACTTCATCTGATGAAGATGATTTGTACGCTGTTGGGATATTCTTCTCTTCAAGAGTCATTTTGGATGGTGTTTCTATTCCTCGAAGATTTGTACATTTGTAAGGATTCACTCATGTTTATATATTGATTGAAAAATTTTTCAGACCCCTTATCACAAAGAGTCATTTAAATCTATTGTTCGGAAACATGATAGAAAGCCTCCGCTCAGGTGAATTGGTGATCATGTTTGGATTGATTTATCCAGTTGTTGATGGATTGTTAGGCTGTCTCCGATACAGGAGTGGTGCCAGCCGGACATGAGTCAGAGAATAAAGAAAGAGAAGTAATACGGATATTAGTTATTAAGAGTAATGGTTATTATATTGTAAAGATATTGTTATATCGATTAACTTCTAAAAGTGTATCTTTAGCAACTGAGTCAATTCAGATTCTCGAGAAGCAACTTTATAATCAACTTCCCCAGAATTCAATCCCTGAACGGACTTTCCCAATCGGGAAGTCAAGAATCAAAATTGTCTCAATCGATTATGTCATTGATGACTAATAGTCACATGATATGTCACATGACACTCGGTCTTTTGCGCCAATCACTCTTTTCTTGTTACAAGACCTAAACTAAACTAAATCATTAATACATGTCAAATTAGAAGTTGAGTACTAAATAAATAATATTACTATTAAACAATTTAGAAACCGACTAATCAAAATAAAACAAATAAATAAATAAAATAAAATCAAAATACTCTCTCTCACTATTTCCACTCTAGTAAAAGGTTTTGGGCTGTGCGTGAAGCTCAATTTCAAAATAATCACCAGCTGTATTTCTCGAAAAACACTACACGGTATCAAAACATCAATTTGTACTCTCTTCACCACCACCTAGGGTACTTCAAACCTCTTGGACTTATAGGTATCACTCTGATATACCATGATTAGGAAACCAAGACTTAAACCCTTGCTGCTGGTCAGTCTTGCCACGTTGTTGTTTTTTTTAATTCCTTCACAAATCACATCTAAAGAAAAGAATAATACCCATTTCATTAATAAACTAGAGTTCAACCATGATTCACTGGATAGTAATTGTCAAAGCTATTTCAAACACTATTCCCAAGGTAATATCCAATACTCTTATTCAGATTATGTCTTTGAAGAAACTCTAGATGAATACCTCAAAAAGCAAATTGAAAAATTCCCAAGTTATTCAAATCAACAATATAAATCTTGGATAACAGATCATAAAGATCATAGAACCTCATATCTTGAAATGGAACAAAACTTGATAAACCAAACAATAGATACACGGATCTATGGTAATTGCTTTCTAAAGCCAAATCATATAACTAATGAACATTGTGGATTATTACAAGAAAATTTATTCCCCTTCCTAACTTTCCAATCTCCAATATTGACAAAATTTGATGGTAAAACTTGGGAATATTCTCAAGGCGATTGCTTTTTACAACAAATTTATAATCAAGCTCAAGGTCAAGGAATTGTTGTTTCTGCTAAAAATAGTCATTATCAACAATTGGTTTCATTATTATTAACCCTAAGAATCTTGAATAATACATTACCTATCCAAATTGTTCATAGAGGTGATTTATCAAGATCAAGACAACTTCAATTAACTAGATTATCAAGACTAGACCTATTACAAATGATTCATGAAAATACAGAATATGTTGAACCATTAATTGGATTAGAAAATTATAATCAAACCATGTTGAAAAACTCTCAATACCCAAGATTAGATATTCAATTCCTAAACATCAAACCCACAATTTCAAAAGATTTCACAAGACAATTCAAACAATACTCAAACAAACTATTGGCAACTTTATTCACCACTTTCAAAGAGGCAATAATCATGGATGCAGATGTCATCCTGTTTAAACCTCCACAAGAACTATTATCAATCCCTGAATATAAATCAACAGGTGCCTTCTTCTTCAAAGATCGTGAACTAATAAATCGTTCATCTGATGAAGATAAAATTTTTTGGAAAAAATTGATGCCCCTGGGGAAAGAATCAATCTTCAACATTCAACAACCTTCAGATCAAACTTTCAATAATCGTTACTTCCATGGTTTCACCCATCTAGTCGAAGCAGGTATCGTATTGATGGATCGCTCCACACATTTCCCAGGGATTTTACACTCGTTACAATTATCATTATGGAGAACTGCCACTAAAAGAGTATGGGGTGATAAGGAACTTTTCTGGTTATCACAAGCAATCTCAGGCACGGATTCATACAGTTTTAATAAAGACGCGGCCGGTGCAGTTGGTGAATTAATCACCAGTGATGGTGTGCAGAAAATTTGTTCAAACCAACCGGTTCATTTATACAATGATTCATTATTATGGATCAATTCAGGTTTCAAATACTGTAAAAATGGTGGTGCCTCTCGTGATTTAAAATATTTCGAAGGAATGGATATGTCAACATTGGTGGAGAAATATAAAGGTCCTTTAAATGTTAGTGCTGTTGTCGTACCGCCTCATGTTGATGAATTATACCTTTCTTGGACAAAAGAAATGGAGGAATTGGAGTCTGAAGAAAGGATTCAAGGTTGGTATAATACGGCAATGTGTGCAGGTTATACATATTGTGCTGCTTCTCCTGTTGTGGTTAATGGTGAGAAAAAATATGGTAAAGTTGTTGAGTTTTCACAGATTGAACAATTGAATTATAATGCATTGGGTAAGGCATGGATGATTGCAAATGATTTACAAAAAATCATTGAAAAGAATAGATCAAAGATGGATCAATATTTGGATGTATCTATTAAATAAATAAGGCTAGTTTGATGATGTTTTTTTGATAGTTTCAAAATTTGTAGCTAAATCATTCAATTTTGTTTCTAATTTTGTTAATGATCCTTCCCAATTTTCAATATCTTTAGACATGGTTATAATATCTTGTTCCATTGATTCTGTGAAATTAACACTATTTGATAATTTTTGATGAACATCATTTAATGATTCTAATCTCTTGATTATAAATGGCAATTCATTTTCAAAATCTTGTGCCTTGTTAAATTTCATATATATTTCATTGAATTTGGTTTCTTCACTTATCTCATTTTGAATATTATCAAGTGATCTTCTAGTAGTAATTGATTTTTCAAATTTTAAATTCACTTCATCAATAATTGAATTAATCTTGTGTAAAGAGTCTTGATCATTTGATAATAATTTGAATTTCCTGAAAAGGTCATTAACCATGGATTGAATTGAATTATCAAATAACTCATCACCAATTGTTCTCTCCAACTTGTTTATCCTTTTATCAAGCTCTACAACCTGTTCTGGATCTTCTTTGTTGATGAATTTATCTATAACAATATCATTGTTTTCACTTTTCAAATCTTTCAATACAACAACTTTTTTATCTCTTGTTCGACTATTCAATTTCTCAAAAAGTTGTTGTAATCTCTTGACTTCATCAGCATCTACTTCACCTTCATCCAACTCATCTTCTAGCTCTTCCAACTCTTTCCTTATCCGACTCAACTTGTTTGGTATAGTTTCTTTAACATCATAAGTTTCATAAGTTTGATCAACTCGATCTATACGATCACTGAAATCTGTCACATGAGCATCAATCATCTTTGTTTCGAAAACAGCGCGACTTTTGTCCAGATCAAATATAGGCTCACTAATTGAATCTCTTTTCTTGATCGAATCATCTTGGATCTTTTCAACGAGTTAGCAATTTTGTCAATTGATGGAATTTAAATCAACTTACATCAAATGATTCTTCAACGTCTGAAGTTTCATACACTTCCTTAGAGTCATGATCCTATTGCACATTAGTAAAATGAAGCACAAGAAGCATATCACCACTCACAATATCACTCAAATCATCAAAATTGGACATTTTGAATCCTCTGATCTCATTTCATTTTGTTTTGTTTCTTTAAGTTGATGTAAACAAAAGCTTCAAACTTTTTCGCGATCGTTTCGCGAATGCGTTTGGTGGAAAAATGAACTTCAAAAATCCTTCACTTTGAAGTTTGAACACAAATTTAATAAAACAATTTGGTGGTGCTTCACAATGAGTTCAACGAGATCAGTATCAGAAATACTGAGCAGAGCTGCTTCTGCGAATGCCAAATTCAATATCTTTACCTCGTTAAGGTCCCAATCACAAATTGAACAGTCTTTTAAAATACCAAAAGATGGCCCATTACATGGCAAAACTGTTGCAATAAAAGACAACATTGTCACTACACAAGAACCAACTACATGCTCTTCAAAGATCCTTTCAGACTATAATTCACCATTTGATGCAACAGTAGTGACTTTACTGGAAAGTGCAGGTGCTATGACTTTAGGCAAAACCAACATGGATGAATTTGGTATGGGTTCAGGAACAACACATTCTCATTACGGTGCTACACTAAATCCATTGTTCCCAGATACACCAACTATAACTGGTGGCTCCTCCGGTGGCTCTGCTGCTGCTGTCGCTGCTGACTTATGTGATATTGCTTTAGGTACAGACACTGGTGGGTCTGTTAGGTTACCAGCTGCATATACTGGTGTTTTGGGGTTTAAGCCAACTTATGGGAGATTATCACGCTGGGGTGTTGTTGCTTATGCTCAAAGCTTGGATACAGTTGGCATTTTAAGTAAGGATATTGAATTAATAAGGCAAACCTATAATGTGCTAAACAAATTTGATTCTAATGACCCAACATCAATGAGTAATCAATTGAGATCGAAAATCAATGAAGTTAGCCAACAAAAACAAAAACTAAGAATCGGTATTGTGAATGAATTCAATCTTGATAATTTATCCACTGAGGTTCAAAAAATTTGGAAACAAGTAGTTGATCAACTACTAGAACATCACGACATTGTTCCAGTCTCAATGCCAACTTTGAAATATGCCCTACCTGCTTACTACACAATTGCTCCAGCTGAAGCTGCTTCAAATTTAGCACGCTATGATGGTATACGGTATGGTTATAGATCTGATGATGACAAACATCATTATGCTCAAACCCGTTCTACTGGGTTTGGAGGTGAAGTTCAAAACAGAATTTTGTTGGGGAATTATAACCTAAATTCAGATTCTTATAAAAACCATTTCCTCAAAGCTCAAAATCTAAGAAATGCCATCAAGTCACAATTTGATCATGTTTTCAAATTCCCAAATTTCTTATCAAACAATAAACCAGCTCAAGATGGTGTAGATCTCATAATATCACCTGTTGCAATGAGCAATGCACCATCGTTACACGTCTTCCAGAACCAAACACCAACTGAATCTTATACTAATGATGCATTCACTGTGCCTGCTTCTTTAGCTGGATTACCAGCTATCTCTGTCCCTTGGGCATCAGAAATCAAGTCTTCACCAATAGGTATTCAAATAATGGGACAATATGGTGATGATGAACAAGTATTGTCATTTGCCCAAAGTTTGAACAAGTTAAATACAGTTTAAGTAAATCTAATGTACATATTATTTCATTTCGTTACACTTAAACATGATCTATAATTAATTAAAACTCTTCATCAAATTTGACAATCTCATTTCTCAACTTTTCCAATGTAGCATCGCGATCCCATTTTTGATGATCTTCCCATATTATTTCCATTAATCTTGCATTTATCAATTCAAGACTTTCAAGATTGAGGTCATCAGTAACATTCAACAATGATTCCCTCACGGAACCTAGTTTTGATTCATCAAGAATAAAATCAGGATCAGGAACTTCTGGTTCAGGCTCTGGTTCAGGTTCAGGTTCTTCTTCAATTGTCTCAATTATTTGTGCTGGCTTATCATCCTCCTTTGGAGGTTCATCAACAATCATTTGATCACCATTCAACATCTCACTATCATTCTCAATAGTTTGACTTGGAGTGGACTCTTGCAATACAATATCTTTTTGCGTAGGTTTGTCAATTTCTTGAGTGGTAACATCACCAACGCTAATGATAGATTGGTCAGCAACTTCAACTGGTCCATCAGCGACTGGCTCGTCTCCATCAACAGCAACCACTTCACCATTTGTAGATGTCTCAGCATTAGTTAACAGCTTATTATGAGCCTCTTCAATTTCCTTGATTTTCAACAAGTCTTCCTCATGTTTTCTTTGTCTTTCAGCTTCTCTGGCACGCATAGCTTTACATTCACGGGCAAACTCAGGAGTAGCAATTTCTTCAACACCAACTTGAGCATTAGCAAACATTTCAGAAGCCTTGATCAATCTCTCACGGTCATTTAATGTAACAGCATCAAGATAAATCATTTCAATATCTCTCAAAAACTGTTTTGGTTCTGAATAAAACCCATTCCATAATCTTTCTTCAACTATATCCAAATCCATATTGAAAAAACGACGCTGTGTTGAATTTTCAATGATCATATCACCACTTTTGGAAAAAGGATGCAATGGAGCATTAGGATCTTCAGGTTCAAACAAATGAATCAACAACACATCATCAATTGGTGGTTTTTTGAATTTTCTATAACGATTCTTAAATAAATCCATCAACCCTGAAAGTTTAATTTTCAATGTGTTTTTCAATTTCATATCTGCTTTTTCAAATGATTTTAAACTAACTTGAACATCTTTCTTTTCTGGTTCTATTTTTTCCAATTTCTCCAATTTTCTCTTCTTTCTTGAATCCAAAAATTCTGTTGGTTTCATTTTCAGAGCAGTCCATAAAGACTCGAAAAATTTATCTCTTTGTTGTTCATCAGCTTTTTCCAAATTGACATGATTGGCTTCTGATAGACCAAATAGTCGTTTCAAGCTAACATCTAAATCTTCAAAAGAAGTATCTGATAAACCTAGTAGCAATATTCTTTCATTTGATCCTACTGATCTTAATAGTCCTGATAATGTAGCTTTTGAGGAATCAGAAACGGCATGGTACCAAATATCAATATTTGGAATGAAAATGATTGAAGGTTGATGACGACGTGCTTCAATAAAACTCTGAATTATAGCAGTTTCGGGACTTCTTGTAGAGTCGCCAAATAACACACCTAGATCCAAAGATTGAACATTGAACCCTTCCAAATGATTCAAAACAGCTGAGCCTAGATAGCCTTGACCATTACCGGGATCACCAGCAATTAACATTCTAGGACGATGGACTCTTGTTGATTCTAGACGTTTCAATAATTCATGTTTACCAAACCCACCATCTTGATCGTTTTCAGTTGGATCAACAAATTGGGCTTCCTCCAATACACTTAGCTTTTTCACTCTTGGAACCAACTTATCTAATTTATCAGTAATTTTTGCTAATGGTTTCTCCAATAAAGACTTTAAATGATCAGGTAATGGTGAAGAACCGCTTGAGGATGAACGAGCAGAAGAGGGAACAATTTTATCCAAAGCCTTCATGAAGTCTCTTGCACCAACTTGAATTGTCGATGGATCAATTTTTAGCTTATCATCAGACGCATAGATTTGTGGATATCTTCTCTGTATACTGTTCAACGCAGCTTCTGTACATAAGGCTCTCAAATCAGCACCACCATAACCTTTAGTCAAATGTGCAACTTTCTCCACAAATTCTGGTTTCAATGGAGGATCCCATTTCTTTGTTTGAATCTTTACAATTTGTTCTCTAGCTTTAATATCAGGTAATGGGAAATAAAATTCTCTGTCAAATCTACCTGGACGACGTAGTGCAGGATCTACTGCGTCAGGACGATTTGTAGCTCCGATAACAATAACTTGACCTCTATTATCCATACCATCCATTAATGCCAACATTGTGGAGACGATACTTGCATGAATTTGCTCTTGTTTTGAAGATCTAACTGGAGCCAGCCCGTCAATTTCATCAAAAAAGATAATACTTGGTTGTTGCTTTCTAGCTTCTTCGAATAATAAACGTAATTGTCTTTCAGCTTCACCAACCCATTTTGATAAACAATCAGCACCTTTTCTCATGAAAAAGGTTATATTACGACCTTGAGAAGAACAACTTGCAGCTAATGCTCTAGCCATTAATGTTTTACCTGTACCTGGTGGACCATGGAATAAAACACCTCTTGGAGGCGTTATACCAAATCTTTGATAAACTTCAGGATATAATAAAGGCAATGCCACCATTTCTTTTAATTGATTGATATAGTTATCAAGACCCCCAATTGCACTAAAATCAATATTCATATCAACACCTAATGGGTCAGAATCTGCAGGTTGTCTTTTCTTGATCTTATTTTGACCAATTGGAGCACTGATTGAATTTCTTTTAACACTTGATCCACCAACGGGTATGATTTCATCATCTGAAGAATCTGAATCTGCGCCACCACCAGCTAATAGATTTGCTGGTGTTGATGAATTGAAATGTGTCAAGTTTTTACCGAAAATCGAAGTAACATCACCACCACCAAATGGACCACCTGTTGGGAATAATCTCCTTATTGGCCCTGTTGGACCACCTCTTCTTCTAGGGGTAGATGGTGCACCTGCATTCAATCTTTGTAATTCTTCAACATTTATATCAGTCAAAGGAGGTGGAATTGTATAATTGACTTCTTTTTTACGTTCACGAAGAGACCTTGGAGCAGGGGAAGCATCTGAATCTAATGCTGAACGCACACCACCCCTTCTCGTTCTTCTTGGAGCATCAGAATCATTTTTCAAGTCTTCTAACTCTTGTTTCAGATCATCATTATCATCATTAATTGTAGGTTCATCATCATTCGGTAGTGTTGGTTCATCTTCTGACTCGTCCTCAATTTGGGATGAATCTCTTCTTAATCTTGAAGATCTTTGAGAAGTTGTCCTACTTTTGACACGACCGCGTTGCTTTGAGTTCTTTTTTCTATTGGACTTCTTTGATCTCTTCTTCGGTTGATCGTAATATTCAACATCATTATCATCATCATCATCTTTTGAGATGAAGTTTCTCATTCTTTTTTTTTCAAAATTTTTCTCCTCATCTATTGAAAAATCACTTCCACTACCAATGTCTTCACTGAAAACATCGCTTTCGTCTTTGAATTCATCATCATCTTCTTCTTCATTTTTGATCTTAGCAGATGATCTAGCTCTAGTGGATCTTTTAGGAGGTCTTTTGGAAAAACTATCATCATCATAGTCATCTTCTTCTTCTTCCTCATCTGGATCATTATACTTGGATCCATTTGACTTCTTCTTTTTCGGTGAACTCTCCAATTTGTCTTCATCACTCAATTCATCATCAATGTCATCATATTCATTCTCTATCTGAGCATAATTAACCTTTTGCTTCTTACGTCTTGAAGAGAACGCCAGTTGATCATCTTCATCATCCTCTTCTATTGGAGACTGTGGTAACCTTCTTTGAGGTCCCGAGGAACGACGACCCATCTCCTTGGTACGGTACTGGAATGTAACTATGAATGAGTCTGTAATCTTGGAAAAAAAAAAGGTTCTGTTCTAAAACTTGATGATGTTCGGGTCTGGTGTATCAAGGTCGCGTTGTGTCAATTTCTGTTTGAACTTTGTCTTTTGATAATGGTACAATTAGTAATTTAGTTGCCACTGCGCTCTCAATTGAGGTTGGAAATCGTTGGAATGGTGTTGAATATTCCAAAGGCTCGATTGTGGACTTTGATTTGATATGTGTCAATTGACTGGCGGATGTCTTGATCCTCAGCTTTTTTTTGATGTTAATCCTTTTTGGGCTTCTCTGTCTCTTCGTTGTTTCTAGCTTTGAAATCTTGTTTTTCAGGTTTCTTTCAAAAATGATTTCGAGAAAACAAAAAAGCGCGTTTTGATGTTGACTGCCTAATGCGGAAATAACAAAGTTCCTCATCTACGAATGAAATACTGAAAGCGCAAAATTAATTTATTAATAAAAGAAAGTGAGGTGTAATTTAAATCATATTTCAGCTCATCAAGATATTCACAGCCCATTCAACACTGAGTGTACGTAAGTCTGTATAAGTTTGACCCACACCAACAAACAAAATTGGAATATTAGTGGCATAAACCATATTTACCATAGTACCAATCAAATCACCAACTGTATCACATTTACTTATTATAAAGAAATCTAGGGTGCGTCCAGCACCAAATGCATTGTTGAAGTTTTTGGCTTGTTGAACAGAATCAGTACCAACTAAAGCTTCACCAACCATGATAATCTTATTTGGGTTAGCAGCTTTAGCAAAAGATGCCAAAGGAGCCATCAATCTTGAATCATTATGTCTTCTACCAGCTGTATCCATCAATACTATATCGAAATCATTCTTTTGAGCATAATCTATAGCGTTTTTAGCAATCTTAGCAACTAAATCAGAACCACCATAACCACCTTCAAATAATTCAATTTGATCTTGAGATTCACTTGATTTTTTCAAATTGTTTACATGGACTCTCAATTGTTCCACTGCACCTGATCTAAAAGTATCACATGCAGCCACCAAAACTTTGAAATCATTTTGTAATAACCAAAATGCCAATTTTGATAAATTTGTAGATTTACCAACACCATTTACACCAACCACTGAGATAACATATGGTTTTTTATTCGATCTTATATCCTGTAATAAATTCACGGATGTTCCTGGTGTCAATATTTTAGTTAAAGCCTTTGCCAACGCTTCTTTTGCAGTGGCTTGGATACTTGTCCAATTTTTAGTTTTAGAACCAACAAGTGCTTTTTCAACATTAGATGTTAGGTGGGAAGCCACTTCAGGTGCAACGTTTTTTCTAATCAAATGGTTTTGTAATTCTGTCAATGTTGATTTAATATCTTCCGAAGCGATTGTTTTACCACCTGTAAATTTTTTCAAAAATCCAAAAGGTTCCTTCACTTCTTGTTTTTGCTTTGAACTGCTCAAAATAGCATCAATCTCATCATTGAGATCTTTAACAAGGAATGCACCTGTTTTAAGATCTTTATCACCGAAGTTTTTCGTATCTATACTGACAGCATGTTCATCACCATCACCTTTAGGAGTTGAAGGTTGAGGCGTTCCTTCTGTTGAGAAGTCCAAAGTGTATCCTGCTTCTTCTTCAACCATACCATCAGCACCCCATTTACGGAGTTTCTTTTGTTGTTTGGCTTTTGATTTCTTGTTTGGAGTATGTTCACTATGTTGTTCATTTGAATGTTCCTCCGAATCTTTATCATCCAATTCTGTTGATCCTGAAGAAGTTTCTTCAAATTCATTCAACTTAACTTTAAAATATTTATCAAATTTAGCCTCTTCCTCTTCTAGACCAAACAGATATGGTTTTTGATTCTCTAAATTTTGTGATATCTCCTCACCAAACATTTCTTTAAATAATCTGGCACTGACATCAACCAACGATTCAGTATATTTCAAAGGAGTGACAGAGGGATAAACAGCCACCACGACTAGACTTGGATTGTTGATTCTTTTATATTTGAGAGTATAACCACCCGTGGTGTAAGTTTCAACATCAACATCATCAACTAAACTTTTGGCATTATCAGATATAAACACATTACTGATCAACGAATTAACTATGGAGTCTGATACTTTTCTTGGGGAGTAGCGGTACAGAAGAATACCTGAAAGTGTGAACACCAGGAACTGGTCAATCATGGTCCTGGTTGGTGATTTTTGTGCTGATCTATGAGTATTGTAGGCTCGTTTAATGGTGATGTCTTTTCATCTCATCGAAAAAGATCCTCAACCAGTTTCGCGAATTATTGGGATTCCTACTGAGTCCTCTTCGTTTAATATCTGGTAATATTCGCTTTCAAAATGGGCGAGATCAAAAAGAGTGAGGGATTTTATTGTGATGTAGGAGGTCGATTCAGGTTATGTTGCATGAAGTTTTGTTGGACTAGTCACTAGTTACTGGTTCAGTAGTTGACTAAATTAATTGATTTTCAAAGTGGGCGAGATTAGGAATATCAGGCATAATATTTAACACTAGCTAGCTGTAGGAAAAATCATAATAATATCACAGCTTGACCAGTATACTAGAAAGACCGACACTAGTACTCAATTCCATTCAAGTATTAATACTAATACTAGTATGTCGACTTCAACTTCTACATCTTTTTACACCTTAAACATTCCTTAAACATTCGAAGTCGAATACAATTAAATTTAATCCTCTAAACCACCCAATATGGAAGTTTACCACAATAGGAAACAACTCAATACATGAACAATTAGCTATGATCTTATAATTCCAAACACTTTCTATGACTTTTCAAAATGGATGTTGTTCAACCTGAATACTTTGAAGCACTATAAATCATCATTTGCTGAAACAATTTCCTCAGCCTTTCAGCAAAGCCTCTCTTAGTTGTAGCCATCCCATATTGTTGTACTGTTATTTCCGAACGAGAATTGTTCAAATTTGAACTACTTGAATTGAACCAACCAAGAGTCAACTAGACAATTTACCCATTTATAAATATTCTAAGAAAAAGCTTGTACGTCCTCAAACCATACTGCTAGCTATAGATCCATTAGGAGAATAAAAGTGTTGCTCCCTTGAATTCACACCATGAAAATTATACCCAAAAGGAACAAGAAGAGCATCAAGAGAAGAGTGGACTTGAAAGTGAACTTGATTGAGGTGAGTACCCCCTCTAGATTCCACATTACAAGAAGAAAAGGTACTAACTTTATCCAGGGTAAAGATTTAGTCCTTACAAACCCTAGATCCTGTCACATTGTGAGTATCCAAGTTTGTCGATGCTAAGGCGAAGTCTAACACCAAAACCAGGTTGCTGGTATTGCATTGAATGGTCAAACAAAGAGAACACACAAGATCAAGCATACTGCTAATCCAGTATTCAACACCTCTTTACAGCTGAGATTAACAGGCTATAGCATTGGTGGTCCAATATTACACATTGCATTATTTGATAAACACAGAAAGTACACCATTTATCTGGGAGAGTTGAGGTTGTCGGTAGTGGATTTATTTGAGGATGCTGAAAAAAGTTTAACAAAGACTATAGTGGCACCAAAATGGTATAAGTTACATTCATCTAAATCTCAAGAAACTTTTGTGACAGGGTCAATTAAAGTTGGTTTTGAATTAAAATCTAAAACTGATGTTGTAACAAATTTTAAAATTTGGCAGTCCTCTTTAGTCAAGCGTGAGAAATCAATCAAGATCAATGATCAAGACTATTACTCGGATACTGAAACTGATGTGGAATCTTTAATGCTTGAAGATCCTAAAAACATTGGCATCCATAGCAGTTTACAAGATTTGAATCTAAGTACTGATTCCATATCTACTCCATCATCATCAACAGAGACATCCACCAAAGCTCCTTCATCACAATCATCATTATATTTACAGCCACCTTCAGTGGCAGGCTCCACTTCAAATTATGATTCCTACTATAGTAGTGACGTTTCGGATGCTCCATTCGTTACACAGCAATCTTTATCTAGGAAACCACATGTTAAGAAACCAGTTACAATTGCAGGTGTTGTCTTTTTAGAAATCCTAAGTGCGGATAATTTACCACCTTTTAAAAGGTTTATTCAAAAAGGTTTTGACATGGACCCATTTGTTGTCATATCGTTTGGTAAGAAAACTTTTAGAACTTCATGGAGAAAACATACTTTAACACCTGTTTTCAACCAAACTTTGGGGTTTAAAGTGCTGTCAAACGAGAAAAATTATGACTTGGTTTTCAATATATTGGATAAAGATCATATATCATTTCATGATAAAGTTGCATTTGGTTCAATTTCATTACAAGATATCATTGATGAAGAGCAGTTTGTTGATTATGATCTACCTTTGAAATTGTTTAAAGATCTGGATTATCACCCTTCATTGAAGTTTAGAATCAAGTTTAAACCATACTCTATTTTGAAAAAGGAATTATGGGAATCCATCTTATCAAAATATGGTGAATCGTTAGATATTATTCAATTGGATATGTTCCTAGAAAATTTGAACATTACTGAAGAGTTGGCATCTTTTTATAAATATAATGATAAATCAATGGTTGATATGTTAACTATCCCCGAGATCATTAAAGTTTTAGATCTTCATAAAGTGGAAATTCAAAGATGTCCACTGTGTGGGAAAAGAAAACAAATGGATATGGTTACACATGTTGCTATATGTTCGGCTAAAGGTGATAAATTGAAAAGTTATGCCACAGCAGGTTTTGCTTCCAAAAGATGGTATTCAAAAGTTTTAATCAAATTTGCATACGGGAAATATGCACTTGGTAAGAATAATGCAAACATTTTGGTTCAAGATAGATTAACTGGGTTCATAATTGAAGAAAAAATGGCATTATATATAAGATTAGGAATAAGATTATTATATAAGGGTAAAGGTGCAGATTCCAAAAGAATTAAAAACTTGTTGAAAAGTTTGTCAATCAAACAAGGTGCAAGATTTGACTCACCAACTTCAGTTAAAGATATTGATTCATTCATAAGATTTCATCATTTAGACCTATCAGAATGTCAAGAAGTTGAATATAAAACTTTTAATGAATTTTTCTATAGGAAATTAAAACCAGGTTCAAGAGTACCAGAATCAAAAGACTCTAGAATAATAGTTTCACCAGCAGATTCAAGATGCACAGCATTCAATGATGTTTCATCAGCAACAAAAATTTGGATTAAAAGTCGTTCATTTTCCATTTCAAAATTATTAGGTGAAGAATCATCAAATTCAAACTTTGATGATTGTTCAGTTGCAGTTTTCAGACTAGCACCTCAAGATTATCATAGATTCCATTCTCCAGTAGATGGTATAGTTCAAGAACCTATTTTCATCTCGGGTGAATATTATACAGTGAACCCAATGGCTATTAGATCTGATCTTGACGTGTTTGGTGAGAATATTAGAGTTGTTATCCCCATTGAAACTGAACTTTTCGGAAGGGTCTTGGTCATAGCTGTGGGTGCCATGATGGTTGGCTCTACCGTACTATCTGTTGCTAAAGGTGATCAGATTAAAAGAACAGATGAATTGGGATATTTCAAATTTGGTGGGTCAACTATTTTAGTATTGTTTGCAAAGGGTAAAATGGAATTTGATTCAGATTTGGTGGCCAACTCATTAGAGTGTACAGAGACTCTTGTGCGTGTTGGTATGTCTGTTGGACATTCGCCAGATATTGACGAGTTTGAGAGGAAAAAAATAAACTTTGAAGAGAATTCTGAAGAGGATAAATTGAAAATCATCAGAACAATTACTGGTGGAGATGCTGAACATCCTTGGGAATATTTCAATTTGAATGTGCATTCGGATGATGACTTGTACGATGAAGAAGATGAAGATAGCTGAAAGGAGATAGAGGAAATATTACATATTCATTCGTTATTTATTATGATAATATAGCATTATATTGCATGTTGATTTCAATAATAGTAGCTGTACTATCCAGATACTGGATTCAGAGCTATCTGCACATCTTCAGCTGAGCAACTAACTCTCAAAGTAGTCGAGCAGATCACATTATTTCTCGGCCATATCACGTTACCTAACTATATAACAAAACTAAAATAAGTACAATCATATACTTAGCAAAATAACCTTGGTAAAGTGCGCAAAGGTTATGTAAAGATAATACTTAATGATTTTCTGACTTTAGTGCTCTTTGTTCGTGGTTAGTGGCACTGGTCGTTGTATTTCAATTTTTCGTGTTAAAGACGCGTCTGGACAAGTTCAAAAGCTATCGAAATATCAAAGCAATTCAACGCTACAACTAGTGATGCCTAGCATATCTTCAGAGATGTCTGATTTCCTGGTAGAATACGAGTATGTTTTTATATTCTTGTTCTTCTCATCAAGTGATAACTAACTTTTGTCAGTGGACCTTCCCATGAGGAACAACAACAACAATCTAGATCATCAATACAAGTGCCCTCAGATTACAAAAGTAAAGATCTATTTGCCCTGGATTTCAATGATAGACCGTATGGGAAACAGTTTGCTTCAATATATTATAACCGTTTAAGTCATTTAAGACCCCGTATCCTACACAATGCCAACAAGAAATGGGGGAAAGAAGTTATTAATGGTAAAAAAGTTGTCAAGAAAGATAAAGTGTTGGATATCAAGAGTGATGAACCATCATGGGTCGTTGGTACTGTTTATTGTGAAATGAAGTATAAACCAAACATCTTGGAAGAAGTTTCAAAGGGAATCCAAGGTGCTAATACAAGCGTAAAGTCATATACAGATCCTGATCTGGATCAAATCATGTTGGAAGATGAATCTGGTAGAGTGTTGTTGGAGGGTGAATTATTGAAAAATACAATTCTAGTAACAGGTACAGTTGTTGGTGTTCTTGGGATGGAGTCTAAGCCTGGTGTTTTCCAAGTTGTTGATCTTGTTTACCCATTCACATCTGCTCAAAAACCAACAAGAAATGCATCTTCGAAAATTGCATTGGTATCTGGTTTACATTTCAATGGGTTAGATTCAGTAAAGTATGAATTACTTAAAGATTACCTAACAGGAGAATTAGGCATTGAATCATCAAGATCAATTTCAAGATTGATTATTGCTGGTAATTCAGTCTTAGTTAGTGGTGAACCAGAAGTTGATGAAAAGAATAAGTATGGTGCTAAGAACAAATCAAATTATAACGTTGACTCAGTCACGCAATTGGACAATTTCTTAGTTGACCTTTTACAAAGTATACCCGTTGATATAATGCCAGGGGAATCTGACCCAGCAGAAACAAGTTTACCTCAACAACCATTGCACAAGGCATTTTTCCAAAAATCTAAAGCATATTTGAATTCATCTTCATTCCGCACATTAACAAATCCATCATGGATTCAATATGATGAATTAAGACTATTAGGTACAAGTGGTGAAAATATTAATGATATTTATAAATATGTCATTCCTGATTCTATAAAAGATACAAGAATTGGGATGCTTGAGGCCACTATTGTCTGGCAAAATATTATTCCAACTGCACCTGATACATTGTGGTGTTATCCATACTCTGATAAAGATCCATTCACACTAAATGAAACACCTCATGTTTATTTTGTTGGAAATCAACCAAAATATGAAACAAAGACATTAGAAATTGATCATGGCATGAAAGTTAAATTAATAGCTATTCCAACTTTCAGTGAAACTGGACAATTTGTTCTACTGGATACTAATACATTAGAAACTGAGATTGTTTCATTAGATATATAAGATTCTATTTACAAGGGTACAACAAAATGCATAACTTCATTATTTATAACTGGTCTCAGATTTCTCTCATCTTGATTCTTAATAAAGGAACGTCTCCGGATCTATTGATTCCTTTACCATAACTTAAATCAGCACCAAATTTTGCATATTCGACTCCAGTCTTCTCAACACCCATTCTATCTAGAAATTTCTTTGATAAAGTTGGCATGAATGGTTGGATCAATATTGAACAAACTCTAGCAGCTTCTAAAGCTGAATATATTATTATATCTTGTTCTTCCCCTTCCTTAGCCCATGGTGCTGAAGTTTCCACTAAATGATTTGCTTGACCAATAACATTCCATATATCTTGTATTGCTGAGGCTGTTTTGAAATCTGACATCTTTGGATCCATTTCAGAATATAATTTATTTACATTGTTTTTCAATTCATTAAGTAAATTTTGAGTTGATTGATCCAATTTAGTATAGTCAAATTCCTGTGAACTCGAAATAGCTCTTTCAGCGTTAAATTTCTTTGCACAACATCTTATAATCAAATTACCAAACTTATCAGTCAACAAGGATCTTGTGCTGAACAATTTCTTTTCACTGAAATTATTATCAGAACTTAGCACAGAATTTTCACAGAGGAACAATCTGAGAACATCACAATCATAATATTCAGCCATCAAGATAGGATCAACAACATTTCCTCTACTTTTGGACATTTTGAAACCATCAGCGATCCAATGACCATGCACAACAATTTGTTGAGGGATTTCCACTCCAGCAGCCAATAACAATGCAGGCCAATAAATACAATGGAATCTCGTGATATCTTTACCTATCAAGTGTGTAGCTGGCCATTTCTTTCCCAGGCTTGGGTATCCTGCATAAGTGATATAATTAACTAATGCATCAATCCAGACATAAATTTTTTGAGATTCATCACCAGGAACAGTTATTCCCCATCTTAGTCTTGATGAAGGACGTGAAATACTTAGATCTTGTAATTCTTCAGTTTTCAAAATGTTTAGCACCTCAATGCTTCTACTCTCTGGGATGATGAATTTTGGGTTTGTTTCGATTATTTTAATAAGATCATCTTTAAATGCTGATAATTTGAAAAAATAATTCTCTTCTGAAAATGGTTTCACTTCGGAGCCTGATTCTTTGGAATATAGTTTATCATCTTTTTCGAAAAGTTGAGTCTTTGTATAAAAAGCTTCATCAGAAACTGAATAATAACCATGATGATTCCCCAAATAAATATAACCTTTATCTTTCAAAACACTCCAAAAATGCTCCACGGCTTTCAAGTGATCTTGGTCAGTAGTTCTGATAAATCTATCATAGCCGATGTTCGATAATTGAGCTAAATTCTTAAATACTAGAGATAGTTGATCAACAAATTCCTTTGGTGGTATTCCTTTCTTTTCAGCAGCTTCTTGGATTTTCAACCCGTGTTCGTCTGTTCCTGTAGTGAAATATGATTCATTTCCTCTAAGTTTCTCCCATCTATTACGGACATCACAAAGCACCATTGAATACAAATGACCTAAATGAGGAGCTATCATTTCCAATTAGTATCGTTCTGTAATATTTGAAGCGAGACACTCACCAGCATTAGGGTAGAAAATCGGTGTGGAAATATAGAATGGTTTTGAAGAAGAAGTTGATGAGAACCTTTTGAGCACTCTGGGTGTCAAGGCCCTTTTCAGCATTGTTTCTGATCTATACGTCAAAACTATGAGTCCATCATGTTTTTGATGATGCTGCTTTGAATTTTTCTTCAAGTGTTTTCGCGAATGTTCAAATTTGTATAAACTTTTCAGTTTAAACTTCTACAAAATTCATTTTGATTTCTATTTCTGATTATGTGTTGTATTGTGTTGCCTATTCACTCTTCTCCACAAAGATGGCCATCAAGACAAAGACACTGTAGAACATGGCCAAGGGATAAGCTATCAAAGCCCTAACATTGTCCAATTTGAGCACAGCTATAAAGAACCCAGAAGCTGAATAAGTACTCCAAAAGATTGACAACGCAGACAAGGTATACCCAATCAAATTGTTCATGTCAAGGAAAATACCAACAAAACTTATAGGCACTAAAGGTAACAAACAATACCCGATAACAGATGCAGTTCTTGTGAAATCTATAGAATTTTCACTCATCAATTTGAAAAAAAAATGTAATGAAATAGTACCAAATAATGCAACACCATATATATAACCAAAATGCACTTTCCCAGCTAATAACAAAAATGTACCAAAGATCAGGCAGAATAGGATTGGACCTGCTAAATCTGAATCAGCCATAACCTCTGGAGTTATAGATCTACCTCTTGGATTTAATACAGCTTGAGTTTTCAATTTGATATGATTAAAATTTATACCCAATTCCTCTAATAACGGTGGTTCATTAGAATATCCAGACGTTGAAAACGCTGCCAGTATCCCTGTGGATAATGTATTATCTCCTAAAGTCCCAGAGACATCGTATTGAGATGAATATTGTGTATCCATGGTACCTTGGATCGGATTATTGTTGACATTGCCAAAATTTTGAAAATTGTCATATTGTGATGGGAAGAATTGGAGGTTTTGAGGTTGCTGTTGTTGCTGTTGATAGAAGGCCATTTCAAAAATAACTTTTTCTAATCAATTACGTCTTTTAAGGTGGTCTTTGATAATGTACCTGGATTCAATTTGTATTGTTGTCAAAAAGCTCAAAACGAAATTCGAATTTTGAAGCAATTTCGCGAATCATTATGTAATTGATTATGTAAAGTTACCCTCGGCAATATTCGCGAATGCGTGTTGCAAAAGAAAAACTGATTTTTTGGCGTCGCGTCGTGCAGTTTTTGGCTATGAATAAACATATTGGACTTGATCAATAACTAGAACGATAAAAATAGTGGTTTATTATGAGTGATTTCATATATACAAACGTTGAAAGAGCATTGCTGCAATACATTATATCCGTTGGCAGTGCCAGAGAGGAGTCTTTGACCTCAGTCCACACCAAACTCAAACAGACAGATGATGAAGATTTAGCCTTAATTGATGGTTTAAAAGAAAGAAGATTAGATGAAACAATTGAAAAAATCAATGATAAATTACATTTATTAGGTTATGAAATTGCAAAAGCCAAAAGTCAAGAAACACAAGAAATCAACTATGTTTTCATAAATACCATAGCAGATGCTCCTGCAAAGATTAGTACAACTCATTCACCAAAAGAAATTGAAGTTATTAAAAAAATTATTGAAAAAATCATAGTGGAATGTGAAGATGAAAGTTTCGTTATAACGAGTTCTGAAGCTTTGAAAATTTGTTCAAGATCTGCTCAATTATCAGCTTCTGAAGGTGAACACTTATTAAGAGAGTTAGTAAATGAAGGTTGGTTAAATCGTTCAAATAAAGGTAGATATTCTTTATCAATTAGAGCATTAACTGAATTGAAAAGAACATTGATTGATAAATATGGTATAAGGTCCAGAACAAGTCCCGAAGGTCATGTTACTTTATGTACAGGTTGTAATGAAATTGTTACGAGTGGTGTTCGTTGTTTTAGTGATAGTTGTTTTATTAAATTTCATTCGGAATGTCAAGGTCATTATTTTAGAGCAAAAGGTACGAAATGTCCAAATGATGAATGTACTGTTGATTGGGCTGAAGATGGACCAAGACCTGTTGGTGAAAAAAGATTAAGATCAAAATTATTAACTTGAATTATCTATAGTTGTTTGTATTGCTTCAGCTTCAATTTCATCAATAATATCCCATACAACATCATCAGCTATTTTTTCATTGTACAACTCATGAAATTCTTTAACATCTGGTTCTAAATCATTTGGTTTACATTTAAAATTTGGACCTGGATTTATTTCCGCAATTCCACCTTTGAAAACACTAACTGTTGGATAATAACCCAATGTACCATTATTGTTTAGTTTATTTATATTGTTTTTTTGTTCTGAATAAGGAGGTAGGAAAGCATATAGATCTTCAAATGCAGTACCGATAAATTCACCATTTTTATAAATTTTAATGCTTGAATTTGGTAAAAAATCAGGTTTGAAAGGATTTAAATCAGGTATAGCTTTTTCACCAAACACTGTGACTGGATTCAACAAATGTTCCATTTTTTCAGTTGGTGTATAATCAAATCTTTCAAAATATAATCGATTTTTATACCTTATAGCAATTTGATCTCTAACAATATCTTGAAATTCAGTTTTAGGTAATTCAACTAAAAATCCAATAACATCACCACTTTTAAAACCTTCCTTCATAAATTTAACAGGTCTCGATAGATGTAATTTTTGACCAGTTTTATCTCTTAATCCATACCCATATGCATCAAATCCAATAGGAGCCTCTATAGAAGCTTCTCTTCTTCCGACACCAATTCTAACATGGCTTTGCTCATTAGAATTAACAATATTGAACTCGAAATATACTTTCCCTTCTTGTATAGGTATATTAGTTCGAGCACTTAACCATCCTTTATCAGTTGTGACACTATTATAATCACCACTTATAAAAGTTCCACTTGATCTATCGAAATAACTCAATGATGCATTGAAAGGTGGTAGGTCAGAAGTGCTGAACTTCAGCAAGGACAAATCAGGATTTGGTCGACATGGTGAGTATTGAAATCCACGTCTTGTATTGAATGGTATATCTTCGATAATGTGAAAATTTGGATCGAATGATGATTTTGCAAGTGGTGCATTGAATTGTTCAAAATCTATAGGCTTATATGAAATTATTGGCTTGAATTTGTTTATCACGATGTTTTTCTTCTTGGAATATAAAGCTTTAATATCATGACTATCTAGTTGTTGATTGTTAGGAATTGAGGTTGTTGTTGTGGATCTCGTTTGGTATTGATGTCTTTCCTCTGATTCCAGGTTACGTTTTTGTGGTATCACTGGTTCGGTGCTGCTCATAATGGATGCTTGATTTGAGTAGAGGTACTATATTCTGTCCTCTAAATGCCTGGATATTTATGCTCGTTGTTATTGTTGTTGTATTATTATTACTTTGATGTTTATTTTTCACCTCTGAACTTCAATATCTGAAGAATTCGCGAATTAATAAATTAAATTAATAGGCATTAAACGAAATCGAATATATCACCTATTTCTGTTGAAAAAGCCTATAGATATTTTATAAATGTTCTAAGAAGAGACTTAGGCTTCTACTGATATGATTTTTCAAGGGTGATTCAAATTTTCAATTTTTGTGATTTTTTAATTATTGTTAGCTTATAACCGAAAATTAATTCAAAATATTATCCAAAACCCCAAAATCAAAATTTAAAACTTTTTGTGATATTGACATTTTTGAGCATATCATGATAAAATTTAAGAAATTCTGATAAAAATGACCTAATTATTTGCGTATTTTTTCCAAGAAATGTTTATTACATAGTTAAAAAAGTTTTGCTTAATTAATTAACGAGCATCTCTGGCAGCCGCGCCTGATTATTTGAAAATTCTACCCCAAATTGTATATACTCAAGTCTCAGGGGCTTCAAGACTATTTAGAAGACTAGCATGTTCTCTCAAGATATATATGTTTTCAACTAAATGATCTGGGTAAGTAAATTCATTGTTTCCTAGAAGCATTACCTGAGTTAGAAAAAAAAAGAGTGTACGCCGAGTAAACCCGAACTACAAAAATTCAAATGTTGGAAATTATTACTACTTTGATTACGTCTATAAATAGTCAGTATATTCAATAGCTATTAAGCTAGCTCATTATTTTTCACTCCAGATTGTTCAACAACACTGACAACTTCTTCAGGCTTTGTGCGTTTGGAAGCAAGAACAAAGTCTGTAATTACACCAGTAATTTCAATAATGACTCCTAAGCAACAGAATCCAAGCCCAACATAACAGGAAGTTCTAACAATTTGTAAATCAGACTCAGGCTCCAAGTATTTAATTGCATTCCCAGAGATACCTAGACCGAATGATATTGAGCTCGCACTTATAACCAGAGCAGATGAAACACCTTGTTGATTACTATCCACCATATCATTCAGCACAGACACTGCAGTTGTTGAGACTAAAACAACAACAAATGGTGCAATTAAAGTTGAAACAAATAAATAACCCCAATAACTTGTATCTTCTTCAGCAGTAGCCAACAGAATCAATGAAATCAACATACAAGTCAAACCGATCAACATTATGAGGTTAGACTTCATCTCTTTAAAGAATAAATAAGTGGTCAATACTAATGCAGCAACACTAGTGATTGATAGTGGGCAAAACTCAGCTGTGGCTAACAATGGTGCATTACCTTTTAATGGAACCATAAAGACCCATACATAATACATCCAAATACCAAAAGCACTAAATCCACAAGCAAGAGAGCTCAGAATCTTTAGGGCTGTAAAGTTGAATAAACTTTTAGGAATCAACGGGTGTTCATTCTTCATTTGCAAATACATCAGTGAAGCAAGTGAAAACACACCCACAATAAGTAAGATGTAACAATATGGTTTTTGCCAACCATCCATTGCAGCAAGATTGAACGAAATATTTAATGTAAAAATTGCAACAACAAAAGAAACAACACCTAAATAATCAAAAGTTGAATTGCTCGAATCTTTTTCAAATTTATCAGTTGGTAAAAACACAAACGATAAAATTGTTAAAATTCCACCTAGTGAAAACATTATAAAATAGATCCAAAACCATTCTTCAGTTGTAGTGAACAATGCACCAATAACTGATCCAAGAACAGATCCAATAGGAATAGCAGCAGCAAATGAAGCATAAATAATTGTCTTAGTCAAGCAATTTTCATAATGACGACCCACAATAGCCAACCCATTTGGAAGCAGGAATGATGAACCAAAACCTTGGAATCCACGAGATATAAAGAAAAAGCTTGAACTAGCAAAATAACTAATACAAGTAATCAAAGACCAAAAACACAAAATGAAGTAACCAAACACAAATAATTTTTTATGACCAAACATATCACCAAGTTTACCAGTAATTATACCAAAAGTGCATTGACTCAGAGAAAACGCAACAATAGTCCATGATAATTCTCCAGGATTATCAATTTCGTATTTTTCCTCCACACTAGTGATTGTGGATAACCCTTGAGTTAAAGCAGCTTGTGAGATTAGTTGACCTGAGATAAGGATACAAATAACAACAATTTCATGAGATTTTGACAACATTTTTTTTCTGATTTTAAAACTAATTATCTTTCAAGTTTCTTCATATATGAAAAGAATCTCATTGGGATCTCTTTAATGAAGCTTGACATGGACTGAAACAAGAGGTGAGGCTGAGTTGATCTTTGAAAAAACAGGTATTTTAAATTATACTTATACACCTATACCCTTGACGTGAAAAACTCATCACGGGAACTGAAAAGTGGTGAATAAAAAAACCCAGACAATTTTGATGTAAATCATGCTTTAGAGTTGTAGACTTTGAAAATAGTTTAAAGTTCCATCAAAGACGAATGATTGGACAGATGAGCAAATTAACGGGGGAAGGATCAAATATTATGATTCATATCCATTTCCATCCCCAAAAAAGGTTATTGTCCGTTTATACCTGTGCTTTTCTGTATGTTTGTCGCTGTTAACTCGAACAATTTTTAAATTGCCGCACTTAAAAATTCACGAAATATGGCAGATTCACGGGTCAGCAAGAAACCTTAACAAAGTTTTTTTTTTTTGACTCTGGCTCTAAATTTAGCATTTTTATACAAATTTTATGGGTGCTTCACATTGGTGAATTCACTAAGTATAAGGGTCATGTTTGATGTTGATGCTTGATAGAAATCATACTTTGGAGTACTCTTCTTGATTTTGCTCTCCTTTTCTCACTTGATTTTCCATCATCCTTTAATTATTCACCACTTTAATGTACCTCCAAAATTATAGCACCATAAAAAGCTTGCCAAGGTCATAATACCCTATACGTCCAAAAGGTCCAAGGACCAAGGTCCCATGTCCCATGCCCAACTTGATAAGAAAAAGTTTAACAAGTGGGAACTTACTTCGAAAGCCGTACACTTCAAATCTGATGGAGTTTGACTCTTGACTCATAGCACAATAACCACATCCGATTAAACGAAGGACAAGTACCTTGGTTGTTATGAATATCATAACTACTTAGACAATATTGTAGCAGTTGAAAAAAAGATTTGAAGTAAGTCATACTCAGGTAATTGACCAAAAAATTCCTACTAATTTTGGGTAATTTATGAAATGAACTAATAAAGCACTGAAGAAACAAACATGGAGTATCCCCTGGAAATTATAATTTGAATTCAAATGAGCCTCTACCTCTATCTTTGCATCACTGTTAAAAACTTTAAACTGACAATGAATTGTGAACCAAACTCCAAAGTATCTTTCATTGATGATGAAAATCAAAGAGTGCAATACCCCAGATCCAATGATCAGAGTGTTTCGAGCTGAAGAAAGGCAGGCTATGCCAAATAGTTTAAATGCCACTAATCAAAACCATGCTGAACTTGTTGTAAAAACGATGTTTCTCATCATGATGGAATTCCATCGTTGTTGATGGTGGTTTCTAAATTTTGTTTCGCGGAATTCGCGAAATGCAAAAGTGTATGATGGAAACCCTTGTGATTAGAAACCAATTTTTTCTTTGATTAGACTCCAATTTTTGTTGTGATTGAAGCCATTGGCACGAGTTGGAACGTGGATGGGTGAAGAATGACGATTGATTGCGCTATTAAGTCTATGGGAAACAAATGACCATGATTAGATCCACATTTTTGGCAGAAGAACATCTAATATAAATAGAGGTGAATCCACCTTGGATAACAATCAAATCAATCAAGTTAATTAAACCACAATTACTTCAATCATGTCAAGCATCACACCAACAGTCAACAAAATTCAACTCAAAGATGGCACGAAAGTGTTTTATAGGGAAGCTGGATCAAAAGATAAACCAATTTTTCTATTATTACATGGTTATCCAACTTCATCAATAATGTTTAGAAATTTGGTCCCATTATTATCTCAACATTACCATGTTATTGCCCCAGACTTACCAGGTTTTGGATTCACAGAAACTCCCAAGGGTTATGATTATAGCTTCGCCAATATAACTGATTCAATTGATGAATTTATTTCAATTTTGAAAATTGATTCATTTAAAGTTTATATCTTTGACTATGGTGCACCTGTTGCATTCAGATTAGCCTTGAAGAATCCATCAAGAATCACAGGTATTGTTGCACAAAACGGTAATGCTTATGAAGAAGGTATTGATGACAGATTTTGGGGTGCATTGAAACAATATTGGGCCAAGGGTGATGAACAAGATCCAGGTTATGTTGATGCATTATCAAAGTTTATTGAAGATAAACAAAACATTTTATCACAATATTATGAAGGTGTTTCTAATCCAAACGTTATTGATCCTGCACCAGCTGTTTTGGATGAATTCTTATTGAAAAGACCTGGTCAAACTAAAATTCAATTGGGATTGTTTTATGATTATCAAAATAATATCAAATTATATCCACAATTTCAAAGTTTTTTAAGAAATTCAAAAGTTCCAGTGTTGGTTGCATGGGGTAAGAATGATTATATATTCACCGTGGAAGGAGCTGAAGCTTATAAGAGAGATGCTTCTAAATTCAAAGCCAAATACTATGAAACTGGTCATTTTGCCCTTGAGACCCATGTTGAAGAAATAGCTGCTGATATCATTGATTTTTTCGTCAAAGAGTGATGTTTTTATTGTAATGCCCATTCTATTTACGTCTCGACTCTCTATTGTAGTAAAATTCGGATTTAATGCAGATCCTCAAGAAAATTTGATAGGACACCATTTAACAGCCATTCGGACTTGTACTTTTTCACCATTCAACATTTGAACAAATTGCAATTCAATGATAAGTCACCAGGCAATTATTATAGATTCAGTCAAAGCACAATGAAGGAATCACAGAGACCTAAAAAATATCGTTGTGATGCTGAAGGATGTGGGAAGGCTTACTCAAGACCTTGTCTTTTGGCTCAGCACAAAAGATCCCATTCAAACTCAAGACCGTTTGTATGTGACGAATGTGGCAAAGGGTTCTTTAGAGAAACTCATTTGAAAGTTCATGCTTGGGTCCACTCCCCTGACAAACCACTGAAATGCTCAGTTTGTTCAAAAGGTTTCACTACAAATCAGCAATTGACTCGTCATTTAAAGACTCATCCTTTGAAGTTCAAATGTCCTTATGAATGTGAACAAGTTTTCGCCACAGAACAAGAATTAACTGATCATGTCCTATCAGACCACGTATTGAATGATATTGTTGATATTCCAACCCATAAAGAATTGTATGAAGATAACGCAAGAAACCCACCAGTTTGTCAATTATCAGTTCCAGACCCTGATTTAGCAACACCAACTTCATTCTATTCAAGTCCAACAAGTACCACAAGTGCAAATACACTCTCATCGTGCTCTTCCATATCTACATCAGGACCTTCTAGTTCATCGTCCCCAGATTTCTGGGAGAACTGGTCTGACCATTGTTGTAAAGAACCAAGCTGTCAAGGAGGTCCTCCTCTTACTAGTTGGTTTGATTTAGTGTACCATTATGACGAGGCACATAATTATGTTCCAGAGACATTATGTACTTTTTCATTCAAGAATCCAAATCAAGTATTGTGAGTTTTATTATAGTCTTTCTTTTTTATTTGTTTTTATAGTAATTAGAAGTTGTGTTTATATATCGTTAACAAAATCTATGTAGTTCTATAATCTAGACCATCTCAATTTAGCATTAGCCAGTAATGAATTGAAATGTTCAATCATGATATCTGAAGAGTTCAATGCACCACTGAGATCATAAAATGGGGCATTTGATACAATGTCAAATTGAAATGAACTTTTCCGTAACAATTTGGGTATTCCTTTCCTTTTCTTTATCCAATGAACTATATCTGGCATCTTCCAATCAGGTATACCTTCCCAGTGTATTGATGAAAGTTGAAAATCTGATAAATTTGGTTTCATAAAATCATAATTAAAGACAACAACTTCTGAACCTAATCTTCTTATAGTGGCTTCAATGTCTTTATAGTCTCTAACAGTAGCGAATGAAACATTCTTATGAATTTCAAGAACATTTTTCAAATACGCTGAATAAACTTGTGGATGGTAAGAAATAGCATTTGAAGGAAACGCACATGGACAAACAATTAACGATTCATGAGTTGATGGTTTTTCCAAATTTTTCCTTTTTGGTGCCCTATGTATAGACATCAGATACATTATTGATGAGGATCCACTGTGTAGAGCAGCTTCTTGGAAGAATGTTTGAGCATGGGGAGGAATTGCAGTTATACAATGAGGAAGTGGTCCAGTATTAAACCTCGAAGCCAATGAAGATGAAACCGATTCCAGTATGAGTATTCTGATACTGAGCCGACCAAACAGCTCTAGCAAACGCAAGGCACCCACAAGCACACCGAGCCCATCACCGACCAGAACCACGAGCAGCATGTGGATGAGCTGATTCCAAAGCACCAGCACCACCTCGAGAGTCACCTGAAGCATCAACTTCAGATTAAATTCGCGAATTGGGTCACCCTCCTGTTGCAGAACGCATTCGCGAGCTGTTTTTGGCAGCTGATGGTGCTTTGCGTGGGCCAACTTGTGATGGACCTCATGGTGATATAAATTTACTCGACATCCCTTTTGACAAGAGAAGCCGTTGTGAACTCAATTGAATCAGAGTATTCATTAAATTCACAAAAGAAAGAAAGAACAATATATAACAATGTCAGTCTCGGGTGTTGCATTCACTTCTTTTGCAACAAAAGACTTGAAGACATTTGAAGAAGCTATTGGATTCTACAAATCATTGGGATTCAAATTGATAAGAAACTATACAAGAGATTTAAACGCTTCAAGTTCATTAAAAGGTGTTTCTCATGATTCTTTAAGAGAAACTTGGTTGGAATCTTTCAAAATATCACAAGTTGATCCAAAAAATGGTGCAAGAATCCCACTACAAGAGAGCAATAGTATACAATCGGAAGGTGTTGTATTAAAATTAAGATTAACAGGTTCTGATCTAACACCAATGGAAAGCTCAAGTTTATTAGATGGTGAATTGAATTTTTTCACAACTGAATTAGAACAAGTTTCTAAAATCTTGGGATTGAAAATTGAATCTTCAAAAATCATTACAAAAGATCCTTTAGGTAACAAGATTTCATTTGTTGAACATCCAACACCTTTTGTTCCAAGTAAAATTGATGCTGATTTCTTTGCATCTCAACTTGCTCAAGAATTAAGTACTGAATCGCAAGATCCAGAATCTAAAAAGAAGAAGATTGCAGTTATGACATCTGGTGGTGATTCTCAAGGTATGAATGCCGCAGTTCGTGCTGTTGTTAGAGCCGGTATCTTTTATGGATGTGATGTCTTTGCGGTTTACGAAGGTTATGAAGGTTTAGTTAATGGAGGTGAATTCATTAAACAAATGGCTTGGGAAGATGTTAGAGGTTGGTTATCTTTAGGTGGTACTTTGATTGGTACTGCTCGTTCAAAAGAGTTTAGAGAAAGATGGGGTAGATTGACTGCTGCTAGAAATATGATTTCAAACGGTATTGATGCCCTTATTGTTTGTGGTGGTGATGGTTCATTAACTGGTGCTGATTTATTTAGATCAGAATGGCCTTCATTAGTTGATGAATTGGTGGCAAACGGTGATTTCAGTGAAGATGAAGTTGCACCTCATAGACATTTAACAATTGTTGGGTTAGTTGGCTCAATTGATAATGATATGAGTGGTACTGATAATACAATTGGTGCCAATTCTTCATTGGAACGTATTTGTGAAATGGTTGATTATATTGATGCAACTGCTACCTCTCATTCAAGAGCTTTTGTTGTGGAAGTTATGGGTAGACATTGTGGTTGGTTAGCCTTGAATGCTGGGCTAGCAACTGGTGCTGATTATATTTTCATTCCTGAACGTGCTGCTAATAAAGATACTTGGAAAGATGAATTGAAACAAGTTTGTCGTCGTCATAGAGAAAAAGGTAGAAGAAAAACAACAGTTATAGTTGCTGAAGGTGCCTTAGATTCTGAATTGAATCCAATCACTTCTGAAGAAGTTAAAGATGTTCTTGTTGAATTAGGTTTAGATACAAGAATCACCACTTTAGGCCATGTTCAAAGAGGTGGTTCAGCTGTTGCTTCTGATAGAATGCTCGCTACTCTACAAGGTGTTGAAGCTGTTAAAGCAGTTTTAGACTTGACTCCAGAGGATCCATCTCCATTGATTGGTGTTTTGGAAAACAAAATTGTTCGCCAACCTTTAGTTGATGCAGTTAAATTAACAAAGTCAGTTGCCGCTGCTATTGAAGCCAAAGATTTTGATAAAGCCATCTCCCTCAGAAATACTGACTTTATTGAATCTTATCAAAACTTCCAATCAATTTCTCAACACGATGATGGTTCCCATTTATTGGATGCTTCTAAACAATTAAACATTGCAATTATTCATGTTGGTGCTTCATCAGCTGCTTTGAATGCTGCCACTAGAGCTGCTGCTTTATATGCATTGTCAAGAGGTCATAAACCGTTTGCTGTTCAAAATGGGTTCAGTGGATTAGTTCGTCATGGCTCAATGAAACCTTTAACTTGGATTGATGTTGAAGATTGGCATAATTTAGGTGGTTCAGAAATCGGTACTAATCGTACCTTACCATCACAAGATATTGGTACTGTTGCATTTTATTTCCAAAAATATCATATTGATGGATTAATAATCATTGGTGGGTTTGAAGGTTTTAGAGCATTAAAAGAATTAGAAGAAGCAAGAAATAATTTCCCAGTTTTCAATATTCCATTAACTTTAATTCCATCAACTGTTTCAAACAATGTTCCAGGTACAGAATATTCGTTAGGTTCAGATACTTGTTTGAATTCATTAGTCAGTTATTGTGATGCTGTTAAACAATCTGCTTCATCTTCAAGAAGAAGAGTCTTTGTTGTTGAAGTACAAGGTGGCCATTCAGGTTATGTTGCAAGTTATATTGGATTAGTTACTGGTTCTGTTGCTAATTATACGCCAGAGAAGAAAATCACATTGAAGACTATTCAAGAAGATATTGCATTATTAAAAGAGAATTTCTTACAGGATCAAGGTGATATCAGAAGTGGTAAAATGTTGATTCGTAATGAAACAGCTTCAAGCATTTTCACTACTGATTTGATTGCTGATATTATTGAAGAATCAAGTAATAAAAGATTTGAAACAAGAACTGCTATTCCTGGTCATGTCCAACAAGGTGGTGCACCAACTGCTTTGGATAGAGTTAATGCTTCAAGATTTGCTATCAAATGTGCTAAATTTATTGAAGAATGGAATGAAAAAATTAGTTCAAATAATTTAGATGGTTCTGATCCAATGTTGAGATTTAAATTTGTTGATGGTAAAAAAGTTTCAATTGTGGGGGATAATGAAGAAAGTGCATGTGTTATTGGTATTGAAGGTTCTGAACTAAAATTCACATCTATCAAACAATTGTGGGAAAATGAGGCTGATATTAAGCTAAGAAAAGGTTTGACTGTTCACTGGGAACATTTTAATGAAATTGCAGACATCCTTAGTGGTAGATTGATCTTGAGAAGTAAATCTAAAAGCCAAGGGTTATTATGAATGAAATGAAAAAAAATAATCAAATAAAGACAGAAATAAATTGATTTGTCCATGTATAATACAATATATATATATATTAAGATATAATATCTAAAGTTTTACAGCTATACAGCAGAAGTAAATATTATCCATATCCATAGAACTGGCGCTTTACTATAACTTAATTAAAGCGCTAGTGACAATTTAATATAATCGATCATATAATTAATATTTAACAATATTTATATATAACTACGTATAATGTTAATGAACAGCAGCTTTATAATGTCATAAAAATTATTATATATTAATTAGATCAACCACAATATCTTAACTAGCTCAACGATACCGCTTTTATCAAGCCACGGAGCTGCAACAAATGATTGTCTCATCGAAAATGTTTTTTTATTCAAAGAAATCATCTTCTGCATCATCTTGTTCTTGTGCAGCATCTGGTGCTTCATCTTCTTGATCTTGTATACTTTGTTGCGTAGCTGCAGTTTCACCTTTAAGAATATCCTCCACCAAGATAGTGCCATCTTTTATCATTTGCTCATATTGTTTTTTATATTGATTTCTTTCAGCTTCAGTTTTCAATAAACCTTTTCTTAAAGTTTCATCTTTTTCTGATTCTGAAGAGTTTGTTGGATAAAGTGCAATATATTTACAAGATTTTGGGAAATAAACAACATAAGCCAGATCAATTTCACAATGTGAAAGTTTCTTTTTAGCCTTTTTAATTTCTTTCTTTTCAGAATTTGAAGATATTAATTGATCATATTCCTTTTTAGCTTGTTTATATTTCCTCAAGGCTTTTTTTTTTTCAAAAAATCTAACCATATGATATTTCTTTGCATTTTTTTTAACTTGTTGTATCTTTGTTGCATTTTTTTTCTCGATTTTCAAAGCAGCTAAAGCTCTTTCATTTTCCACAATAACATTAGCTGGTAATTTATCTCTTCTTTTAGACAACAGTCTTTCAATATCTCTTATCTTCTTGCTGATTTTAGATGTACCTGATCCCAATACTGAAGCGACTTCAACAGCAACACCGTTTGACCTTCTTTGTGGATTCTTTATAGCTGGCATTTTATGGAAATTTTGTTGATGTTTATCGTTTCAGCTATCATGAATCCTGCGCTTGAATTTTTTTTTCCTCTTTTCTATCAGATTTCTGCCCTTACCGATGAGTTCAATTCGAACCTGGGAGATGGAATCTATTAATATGTTAGATCACAAAAAATCGAGGTTTTCCCTTTAGAGTCTACTGTTGAGTTAATCTTTCTATGATGTATATATAATAATGTACAGTAAAAATACAATTTCTGTCCCTTTGTTGTGTTTTTTTCATTTATAAATTTGTAAATTGATTAAACTGGGAGGACTCTAACACCAGCGATTTTATCAACAACCTGGGAAATTTTGTTAGTGATCAGCATAAAGAATGAGTGAAATGCATTAAAACTTACAGGTGCAACGACAGGGTGTGAAAGGATTGGTCCTATTATTGGAACACTTCTTAAGAATGAAACAATAACTGCAAAGAAATCACTGAAGACAATGTTAGTTTCAGATTTTTAGAACCTCTTTTAGATGATAGATACATACCCAAATAAGGCTAGTATACCAAAGCTTTCAATCAAGAATCCAGTGAATGGCCATTTGAATAAGATCAAGAAAATACCTAATGTAAATGCAATTGAACCACGAATCTTTGTTGGTCTAGTAAAGAATACCACAGTTCTTTGAGGCCCAATGATTAAGACAACACCAATAACAAATAGAAGCTAAACAAATATTAGTTATAATTCCAATGTAGTTTAGATGATTGACTCACATTACCTAGTGCTAATAAAGCAGAATCAAAAAATGTTGCAATACCCAATAAGAAAAACACCAAACCTATAAATAAAAGTTAGCCAACCTGACGAATCCGAGACCGATACTTTATCAACATACCACCTGCGGTGAAACCAACACCGAATTCTATAGAATTGAAGCTGTTAGTAATAAATCTTTCTTTTGAATGATTCAAGACACGTCAAAAAAATGGATAACTCATGTGTATTCACTTTTGAATGATCCTAAAGACATGATAAATCCCAACAACACATACTCTGCTGTTCTGTAAGCCACACCATTATGAATCTAGAGTGCAATAGAACGAAAAGAGCCTCAGTGAAACTTGTTTTTGGTATTGAAATTTTGGCACTTGTCAATTGTTTTTTTTTGTTTTTGTCTTGTGGAAGAAAAAAAAACATGGCGTTTCACTAGCCACAGAGCGAAGGCGCACCAGCCACATCGGGAAGTAGGCTCATCCGTTGTGGCTAGTGCTTTTAAAGATGACAATAAAGAAAAACATCACAGAACTGAACCCTCCAAAACATATCCAAAACATCATCAAACTCACTCAGAACAATGGGCAAAATAGAGGAACTCCCACCGTCGTACGACGAGGCCATCTCACAAGCACCTACTGGCCAGCTGCCCCAGTACAACAACAGCCAACAGCATCCTCCTCCTCCTCCTCCTCCTCCAAACAGACCATCTTCTTATTCTTCAAGCTCACACCAGATACCCCAACAACAACAGCCTCAAGTGCGCCCTACAAACAGTGTCCCATGGCAATATCCAAGAGGGTACTGGTGCTCCAAATGTCACAACACTGGAAAGAAGTTGAAGAATGGGAAATCATGTAATAAATGCTGGAAGAGATTTGCTCCAAGAAATGGTGCTACTACTGTTAATACCAATGTTGGTACCCAATATAGCTATAGTTCAAACAGCTCAAATTTTGGAGGATTTGGGCTTCCATTCTCCTCTGGCTCAACAAATGTAGGTTTCACTCATGGTCCTCAAAGTTATTCATATCAAACAACAACAGTAAATAATATGCCACCAAGATTTGTTAAGCCTGGAGACCCTGCAATAGGAGGGATCATGTGTGGGAACTGTAGAGGATCAGGATTGGTTAGATTCTTTTTGGATGAAGATTTATGGTGAGTATAATGACAATAGTTGGAAGCTGACTTAGTACTAACAACCCAATTTTCTAGTCCAGTCTGCCATGGTGTTGGCCGTGTTTTCGTTTGAGGAATTGACTCACTATTACGAATGGAATTATGAATGAAATTATGAATTTATCACACTCTTTAATATGAAATTTATACACTATTTGATCAGATTTTAACTTGTAGCTGAGCATACGGTTACGCAGCCCTGACTAAGCGTTTTTTTTTTATTTTATTTTTTCACCGTTTGAATCATAAACGTCCATGTGAAAAAAACAGCCAAAAAGCTTAAGTTCTTTGGAATTGAACATCTTTCAAATTAAATAAAGTGAATCTCGGTATTTAAACCTGGTGGCTCTTTGGTTTTTGGTACTCTGATTATCAACTGTCAATTTTTTAATCAACAGCTTCGTCTCATTGGTGTTTTGGGCTTTCAAAAGATATAAAGATAAGAATCTAATACAATATGTCTGATAAACTAGCTAGAGACATTTCAGAATTGAATTTGAGTCCTCCATCAACTTCCTCATCTTCTTCACTCCCACCAAATGCTCATGTAAACGGTGCTGGCTATTCCACCACTGCCCACACTTCAATAAGTGACCATCATCATCATCATAATACCCAACCATCATCCTCCTCATCATCATCATCATCACCAACTACTCATCATCCAAAACCATCAACCAGACCTGCTCCACGTGCTATTGACTCACCATTAGCTATAAGACCAGCTTCTCCTTACACTTTAAACCCACCAATTGATTCAGATGGTCTTTCATGGCCAAGTGTCGGTGCTAGAAAAAGAATTGATTCAACTCCTGAAGAGGCTGAACTAAGAGAGAAAAGAATAAGTGATGCGGTTAAAGTCATACTGGAAGAGTTGGGAGAAGATACAAACAGAGAAGGTTTACTGGAAACTCCTGAAAGATATGCAAGAGCAATGCTATATTTCACAAAAGGTTATGAAGATAATATTAGAGATGTGATTAAAAGAGCAGTATTTGAAGAAGATCATGATGAAATGGTTATTGTTAGAGATATTGAAATCTATTCATTATGTGAACATCATTTAGTTCCATTTTTCGGGAAAGTTCATATTGGTTATATTCCAAATAAAAAAGTTTTAGGATTATCAAAGTTGGCAAGATTAGCTGAAATGTATGCAAGAAGATTTCAAGTTCAAGAAAGATTAACAAAGCAAATTGCAATGGCTCTTAAAGAAATTTTGAAACCTCAAGGTGTTGCTGTTGTCATTGAAGCTACTCATATGTGTATGGTTAGTCGTGGAATCCAAAAAACCGGTTCAAGTACCGTTACTAGTTGTATGCTTGGCTGTTTTAGAGAAGCTCAAAAGACAAGAGAAGAGTTTTTAGGTTTATTGGGAAAAAGATAAGGTGCCTCACCAAAAAAAAATATTAATTTATTAAAGATCATTTTTCAACAGTTGATCTATCAAAGAAAAATCATGAAGTTTATGATTAAAATGTTTTTTTTTATTTGCATATATCAAGTATGATTAAGAAGATATACGTTCAGTTCTAATTACTTCTTTACTTCTATCCTTTTTATTATTGTTTTTTATATTAGTTTTCACGGGTTCTGGGATTCAACATCATAGGATAATATATAAGAGTTCTTTTCAATTTAATAGGAAGGATCAATCACATTCTGTAGCTTTTCTTTCGTTACAATATTCCAATTTCCAATTAATTCAAATGAAATTATTAATATACACTTTTAATCCCCCCAAAATTATGCAAATGGATTCAACCCTTCAACGCTTCACTTTTTTTCTTTGGTCATGTTTATCTTTCTTATTAGTTTTGGTAACACTTGAACCTATAGTAATATTAACTTTTGGTGGAACTTTAAACCCATATGATTTTGCAACTTTGACTAAATCCAACTTATCAATTTGATAAACAGATTTCAAAGAATGTGAAGAGTATGATTGTAAATATGATCTATAACCATCTGAAGCTGATTGTTGTAAAAAGTAATTTGTAGTAATCAATTTTTCCAGTTGGCTTTGAATATTTGCAATTTTATTTGTTGGGAATTCATATTCATTTAATGGGACTCTAGCAGCTTTTAAATATCTCAAGAATCCTAGTTCACTTGGTAATAAAAACATAAGTGATTTACCAGTAGCTTTAGTACCTCTTGCAGTTCTACCAACTCTATGAATATAATCTTTTGGTTCATCAGGTGGATCGAATTGAATAATCCAGTCAACAGCTGGAATATCTAATCCTCTTGCGGCAACATCTGTAGATAATAATATACCCCTTTCAGCATTGATGAATTCAAAAAATGTATTTGTACGTTTTGCTTGCTTTTGTTTACCATGTAAATCTAATACTGGTAAATCAATATAGTTTAATAATTCACTATAATATTTAACAGAATTACATGATGAAAAAAACACAATAATTTTCTTCTTGATATTTTTCTTTAGGAATGAAAACAACAACAAGAATCTTTTATCACTTTCACAAACAACATAACCTTGTTCTAATCTATCAGCTGTGGAATTCAATTCTTTTGCTGCGACATTTATGAATAATGGACCAGGTCTTAATGAAATTCTAGCTAAATCTTCAACTTTTGTAGTTTGTGTAGCTGAAAATAAGAAAGTTTGTCTACCTTCATTTGGTAAAATTTTGATGATTTGTCTCATCTCTTCTTCAAAACCAAAATCTAAAATACGATCAGCTTCATCAATAACTAAAGCTTTCAAATTTTTGAAAACAAAACCTTTAGAATTTTGTAAATGATCCAGTAATCTACCAGGAGTGGCAACTATTAGATTAACACCTTTGATCAGTTTTTCAGCTTCTGCACGACGATTGTTACCACCAATAGTTAGTGCAAAAGTTTGGGAATGATGAGCCATTAATTCTTTAGCAACACCAAAAATTTGCATAGCTAGTTCTCTTGTTGGTGTAATAATAATAACACCTGTACCATTTCTTGGTTTGAATTTCAATGAATACAACATTTCAATGGCTGGGATTAGAAATGCTAAAGTTTTACCGGAACCTGTTTTAGCTGCACCTAAAACATCACGACCAGCTAATAATGGTGGGATTGTTCTGGCTTGAACCGGAGTCATTGTAGTGAATCCCATTTCTCCAATTGCTTTCAAAGTTGGTGCAGATAAATTTAAATCAGTAAACTTTGCAGAATCAGTAGCTAACTCTTCAACAACTTGTTGTGGTAGTGATGCTTCAATCTTTTCATTATCACCTGATTCAACTTCTTCTTCTTCTTTTTCTTCTTCTTCTTCTTCGTCATCTTCACTTTCTTCATCATCATCATCTTTTTCAACATTAGCACCTAATAAACCAGCAATTTCTTCATATTCATTATCTAATTCATCAACTAATTTTTCATTATCATCATGATGTTCTTCTTCAGCTTCATGATGACGTCTCTTCACACCTTTTTTAGAATGATCCTTTGAGGATCTTGAGTGAGATGGTTTCCCACTTTTCTTGGATTTGAACTCTTTAGCCATTTTATCAAAGAAGTCTAATTCTATTCAAGTATGTCAGTGTGTTTAACAGCTTTTTGATAATACAAATTTTTCTTATACTTTTCAAATTTTTTTTTATTTAATTTTTTTTCTCTTTGAAATCTCTCAAAGTGGAAATTATCCAAAAACGGAAGCGATGAGTCGTGCGCTGGCAAAACGTATCTAAATATTATTATAGAAATTCTTGAAGGAGGGGCAAAAAAATACAGTGAACATGAGACCTACATGGAACGAATCGGTTCGACGTCAATATGAACGTGCTGTAGTCTGAGTGCTACTGATTATTTGTAACTCGAGTTATTGCTGTTCAAAGTTGGTCTTTTAGTGCTTCCGACCTCCGTTTGGACATGGTGTGATCTCCCAATTCGCGAATTTTTGTTTGACGCGTCAGGTTCACGTGAACGTCGCGTTGTTGAAGTTCGTGATAATTTAAAATGTAAACAAATCTTCAAATAGCTCACCACTTTTTAATGTGATCCACCAACATCAAGCTGAACTATAGTTCATTTATCCATGGCTCCACGGCGTCAAAGATCCAATGGCAGGCCCAGAGGATTGCAACCACCTCAAAGCCAACTCGCTTCACAAGTTCACAATCCTCCTGCAAGAAGAATTCATAGAGATGCTGCGCAAATGAATCCACTCAGAAATTTGAGAGTTTTGAGAAATTCAACAGTCCAGGCAACGAACGAGGTTAACAGGAGAAATCCTAATGATACGGTCAAGACACCATTCCCAGATTCAATCATTACACGTTCTGATTTTGACTTTGCATCAGTTCCATATTGTGATGTTGGTAAATTCAATAAAAGGTGCCCCAACTGCAATGCACTAAGCTTCAATTGTTTGATTGAAGGCCAGAAAGAACAGTGTAGGGTTTGCAAAAACTCTGATCGTCTTTTGGACCCTGCTGGAGACCCACTTTTAAAACCTTTACCGGCTTTGCCTGACTGTCTAAAACCTTTTTTCTATCCTTCTGATAACCCAGATGAAATTGCAATGAAAAAGAACATAAGGGTTTTCAACAACATGTTTGCTTTTAGCTCCTTAAGATGTGAGGTTGCTACAAATCGTCATATTGGTGTTCCCTATCCTTTCATTTTCGTCGGTGGTCAATTGTCCCATCAAATAAAGGATCTTCCTCAAACAATTTTCAATCGTCCACATGAGAACCAAACCTCAACTCCCACTGAAGGTGTTAGATTCGCTCAAATATACACATATGACCCAGATGAGGCAACAAGAATTAGAATCAGCAATAATCCATTCTTACAACAATCACAGTTGGGTGTAGTCCACGATATAGAAATTTTTATGAGAGATCATAATCCTTTCGCATCATTATATCAAAATGCTTCCAAAATATTAACACAATTACCTTCCATTCCTTGGGAATCTTCAATTAAATTAGTTCGACAACAAATGGATGATAAAAATACTTATAGCACACCAACTGGTGATGAAATCGCTGCTTTGATCAACAAACACAACCCTACAGGTTCGCTTCCACAAAGAATGGTATTAACCACCGGTGGTGAGTTTAGATCAATCGACCATACATCTGAACTTTTTTTCCCATCTCATTTGCCTTTTCTGTTTCCCTTTGGAGAAGGTGGTTGGCAGGCTAAAACTCAAACGTTACTCGGCACTCAACATCTATCGTTAGCATCATGGGCAAATTATCGAAGCGCTGCTTTACATGACGACAAAAATTACATAGTTCATGGTGGAAAATTATTTCAAGAGTTTATCACCTCTGGATACGCTGTCAATCAATTAGCGAAAGTCAACTATATAAGACAAAATCAAACTCAAATCAGAGCTGACCAGTATAAGAATTTAGATGGTGATGACGTTCTAAATGATGTATAAAGAATAAAATTGTCAAGAATTATTATCTACTTAAAGCTCTACATTCGAAAAAGTATAGTCAATTATAAATTAATAATAGTGTAAAATATGAGTACAAAAAGTAATACAAAAACCAACAGTAATAGTACAAAAACAATCAAGGAAACAAAATGTCTGAGAAAAAAACAAACCATGATAATGAGTGAACACTGAATATCAATAACTTATGAAACTGAGAAAATCAACTCTCTTTATCGCTGCAATCTAAGCTCGTAAACCAATATTTTCTAGCTGATACTTCCCACTTAAACCCGGAATTGCGATTTCATAACCCAAGGTTTCACTTTTGATATCTTCATGGTTTTTTTCAACATGAATTGTAGCAATTAAAGAATTTTCCGAGATTCTGTAACTTAAATCTCTTTCATCTCTAATTTTCAATCCTTCAGGAATACCTGTAACAGGACCTGGTAGTCTTTCGTCACCAACCTTATAACCTTCTTTATCTTGAATGTTGTGAATTGAAATCAAATCTGCCCAATTTCTCTTGTTTAAGAATTCTTTATTTGAACGAATGGATCCATCAACATCTTTTGTAAAGATCGGAACCATATCTTCATCTGTATTGTGATCGAAATGATGAATACCTGATCTTTTGTTTAATAAACCAGCCATAGCATCTGGTGGTGGAGCATTGACAATTGCCGATGAAATAACATTGAACATTAATCTTGGATCTTCTTCAGGTTTTGACTTGACGGCATCGTTATGTTCTTGATATTTCTCTTTGTTGAAGAAGTGGTTTAAATGCATTTTAGTTTTAAAACGCCCAACTGCTGCTAAATGAACATCACCAGATAAAATAGTTACTCTAACACCATTTTTCGACCCAAACTCTTGTAATTTACCAATCAAATTGTTTCTCTCCTTTTTATGATGTTTTGAACACCAATGATCATTTAAATCATCTAAAACTTCAACAGAACCATCAAATTCATTAACCAATCCTTTTGCAATGATACCCTTTTGAGCTAAAGTTCTAGCAGGTGCCAATATCACAGAATTTAATAACCATTCTAACCAAACCAATCTTGGATAAGCAATAGGAACACCCAATAACACTAATAAATGTTTAATTGATGGATCTTTTTTAACTTCAGCTTGTAATCTTTTGAAAACTAATTCATAAGTTTCTTTAGTGACAATTGTTTTCAATTTTCTTTCAGTTCTACAATCCAACCCTAGGAATCCAATACCTTTCCCCAATTTTGTAAAGATTGAATGACTTTTTTCTCCCATATAAGGACCTGGTTTACTACCAAGAATCCAACTTGGATCTTTCAAATAAGCTTCATCATCATCTTTATAATTGACTTGTTGTTGGAAAAGCATATAGTATTGATAAGCGATATTACCAACCCCTTTAAAGATTTCAGTGCTCATTGTAGAGTCACGATAAGATCCATAACCATCAATAATATCATGATCATCATAAATGTTAATTGAAGGGATTGTAGCCATTGCAACTGGGAATAAAGCTTCCAAGATTTTACCATTAGTACCTTTCCAGAAACCTTGACCATACCATTTCATGTATTGATTAATGTAGAAATCATGGAAAGAATCACTAATCTCTTTAGTCAATTTTTGATGATGTTTCTTGACTGGATTTTTCTCCTCTAACCAATCATGGAACACTTTTGAAGCATTCTTGATAGCATCACAATAAATTTGATCACCACCACCAAGCATAACATGATAACGCTGAGAAGAATGATGACGATTCAAGACATCATACCATAATGAAGATTTATAAGTTTCAGTTTGTGTTGATAAAGAAAACCCATTACATGAATATGACACAATGTTCATAGGTTGAGAAGCTGCAGGTAAGAAGAATTCATAAGATAAGACATCATTAACAGTATATCTAATCTTTTGTTCTTTTGCAATCAACTTTGTATCAATTAAAAATCTGTAAAATTTGTAGTCACCAACAGTGGAAAACACTTGATGTTTATATTCACCTTTAGCCAATTCATCTAAAGAATCTGGAATGACAGGACCTTGAACATATGAGACTTTTGGAATTTCAGAACCTTTAACAACCAACATAATTGAAGCTCTATAATTATCAGTGTTATCTTCTAAAGTTCCAATCAATCTCAAGATTGGACCACACCTTATGTCAACACCGCCCAATGGATCGTTAACAGGACATTCATCGGGGACATTTTTGGAAGCTTCGAGGATCTCATAGATCTTTGAGATTGGTTGGACATCTTGTATCCAATCTTGTAGTGACATTGTTTTGGGATTTATTGAATTGAGATTTGTAAAAAGAATTGAAGGAATGAAATGGCTAAATAAAAAATTTGATTATGTTTCACCATTTGTTTATTGGCCTGAAATTCGCCCTAGAAAAAGCAAGGTACGAAATTGACCTGGATTTCTGCGATGAGATGGGCCTAGGGTGGTGAGGAAAGGGTCTAGAAGTTCAAAGTTGGACTTATGTCTTACATCCCAACACCAGACACATAACCCAAGGGACTACAAGACTATAATTTTAAAAGTACAAATAAATAATCATAATCCATTAAAAAAGCTTCTCTAACTAACTCTCTATTCACTCTATCTTCTTTTACTCATCACCTCCAATACAGTTCTTTTAAAAGTTATTGGATCTAAAGTTATTGGTTTCGGAATTGTGAAATCAATACCAACTTGTGAATATTTTTGTAAATCACTTGGTGAATAACAACTTGTAACTGCAATTATAGACAACTGATCAAATCTTTTATAAATTGATCGTATTTTACCAGCAATTTCCACTCCGTTTAATTCAGGCATCTCTATATCAAGAAACAAGACATCATATGGTAATTCCTCCAGTTCTGTTGACAACAATATATCTAAAATTTCCAATGGATTTGTAGTTGATTTTAAATTACAACATTTTGGAAAAGATCTATTTAAAATCTTTTCCATTATTGTTAAATTGATTTTATTATCATCAACCATCAAGAAATTGAAAACATCCTCTTCAAATCTTGATTCCTCCTTCTCTATAGAACTTATATTGAAAAATTCAGATTGATTCAATACTGGAGATAATGGTGATGGAAGTTGAGGATTGCTTGTATCATATTCATGATCAAATGGTAAAAACATATAATTATCTAAACTTGTAGTGGCAGAAATCAACCCAGATGCACTAATTTGAGAGGCACAATCATCTTCAAAGCTTAAATTTGATTGTATCTCCAGTGTTGGTGATGAAGGTGGAGACTTGTAAGTGGTTTTCTTATTGAGCACTAGCATGTTCATGATTGGAAGGGGAAGTGTTGATGTACTATTGACAATAACATAAAGGGGATTTTCAAGTGTCTTTCATTCTCAAAGATGGGATATTCTCTTGTATTTAAACAGCAAGAACCTGGTTTGACTTGATTTTGGGATCCAAAATTTTTTTGGCTTATTTTTTCGCAGTACAACTATGGCCAGAACCAAGATAAAGTTCTCAATTCGGAAGTGTCGATGATCATGAACCAAAAAGAAAATTTGACGAGAAAAAGACGAAAAAAGACTCGTGCGTACAGAAGATCACATTGAATTTGCCATTTCTGGGTGGTGCTAAATTGGTGGTACCTGAATAATGGAAAGGCCCCTTCTAGAAGATGGGATTTGGGCTTCGTGAGGTGGGTTTCCAGGACCAGGATTTAGAACCATGAGTTGACATGGATAAAGTGGATACGCTGAAAGAGCTAGCCATCAACCAAGGTAATTCAGCCTAGACAAGTCATGATCTATACTGAACAGACTACTGACTCATATTACATAGGTTCATGTTAACCTTCAAAACAAGGTTAAATCCTAAGTTGAAGATCAACTAATTGCTCGTTATAATAGTCGGTGCGGATTATATTGTAGATGAGTTTGAAGAGTGAAGTCTATAATCATCAGATATAGCCTTCACTGCATGATTCTTATGGATTCGTTTGCTTGAGCATGCACCTGAGCAATAAACAATACGAGATACACTATCAAAATTAGCTTTCTTCGCGACTTCATCTTGGCTGGAGTGCTTTTGTACCCAAAGCAAATTAGATTAATGTTGAGGTCAACGTTAGCTGTCAGCACTTAAGAAGTGATGCAGTTCGTACTCCAAGTTCCTTCAACACCCATCTGTTGAAGATACAGAGCTGAGAGTACCATATAGATTCCAAATATACCACTTTCTGTTCCATGTAGAGTAGTGGAGACGATGAATGGCTTCACATTTCTTTTGGTGAAATGCCGGATTAACTTTTGGTGAACTGATAAATAGCCTAGATCTCGACAGACGGACCTTTTCATACATCTGTGAGCTTGGTATTGATCACTCATATACTTGCCTAGTGGGTTTTAAATTCCTTGGGAATATAACTAGTATGTGACTACGTAAAACCTTGTTTCTGGTGGTGACTCTGTTCTATTTGATCTTGCATCAATAGTGAATGAAACACTTGAACCATACTCAGCAAATCACGAACCTCTGTGAAAAAATATTCAAACATCCTCAAACTATTGATTCGTATTTTCAGACACCAGAACCAGCATGAACTTACTCCACAAGCGATTTAAGTTGCCTAGTTACTGCTGCCAACACTTGACAACCCAAGAATAGTTATACATTGCTTTAGAGTCAAGTAATTAATCACTGACCATGTTGAGAAAAGCTAAGCCTATACAAAATTTGGTGCCAGATTATGTAATTTTATATGATATGATTATATAATCAGATTTTTTGACCAGTAGCAGGGTAAACTTCGCGGATATTTAGGCCCTTTTAATGATAACCGTTTGTATGATTTAACAGAGCTAAACAATCTCATACCACCAATCAATAATCTTGAAATGGGTATGGTGGCTACTATATAATTACTCTATTCTTGGAGACTAACATTCTTTTAGCAATTGCACTATGGCTTTGTCCAAAACAGTCTTCACAGATATATGAAACGTTAAACTCTTTAATAATAGGAATAAATCCATTGTTTGAAGATGCTCCAAGATTTGAGCCTCACATCACAATAACATCTCAGCTATCAATCAATTCAATGAGCGATGTAAACACTGTGCTCAATAGCTGTGTTGCAGCTTTAGCTGGAGGTCCGGAAATGGATATAGAGCTGACTTTCAACTCGTTAAAGATTAACCATAAAAATTCCTACTTCAAGAAAATTTATCTATCTTTGTTGAAAACAAAAAATCTTGCAAGTCTTGCTACTATAATAAGAGAACTTTATGTTGAATTCCCCAATTTACAAAACCAGGCCGAATCAAAATATGCTGCTCAAGATTGGTGTAATGAAATATTTGATCCTCATTTATCACTAGTTTATACAAATTTAACCCATTTTGATAATGCATTGATAAGGACCATCAAAACTAGAGTAGAGGATTTGTTAAACACTGATACACTATCATTAGAAGATGATGAATTGCTGGAATATAATCTCGGTTGGACAAATGGTGCTTTGAAAATCGTAAGATGTGAAGGTCCTGTTGAAGAATGGCAAGTATTAGGAAAAGTTGACATACACTAGGAAAAAATGTAAACACAAAGCATAAATTTAATTCAATATTTAGATGTAGTAACATTGACACCATTAACTGCAGCATCATTAACAAACCATGAAACTGGAACTGATAATTCATTAACTAATTCAGCTGGTAGTTCGGTTTTCTTATCACTAAAGATTTCTTTCAAAACTGAAGCTTTACCTTCACCTTCTGCAACAAATGCAATTGATTTAGCAGCTTTCAAGACTGGGAAAGTAATTGTGATTCTTCTTGATGGTGGTTTTGGAGAATCACTAATACTAGTAACATTCACACTGTATTCTTTTAATAATTTATGACCAGGGAATAATGAACATGTATGACCATCTGGACCACATCCTAACAAGATCAAGTCTAATGATTCCGGTAAGAAACTTGCATACTCTTGAGCAATAGCATCATCATTTGAAGTATCTGTATCATGTAATAATGATTCATTTATAGTAAACACTGTTGGACCTGGAATCCCTTCATGTGCTAAATTTTTCAAAACAACTTCATTGAACAAACCATAGTTGGAATCTTCATGTTCTAATGGGACTAATCTTTCATCACTGAAGAATACTCTCCATTTATTCCAATGAATCTTTGATGCAATGTCTTTATTTGAAATTAATCCAGCTTTCAAAACTTTACCTAATGAACCACCAGAAATTGCAATATCGAATGAATCTTTTGAAGAGAGTGCTTCATCTTGAGCTTTCAAAATGAATTGAGCCACTGAATTGGCAACATCGGTGCTATCTGCGTATGAATAAACTTTGACCATTGTACTGGGAATTGGAATTGATATTAAAGTATCTTGTTGTTGAGATTCGAAAGGTTTATAGCAAAGTTTCAAAATCATTTATTTTAATTAAAAGGTCCCGGATTTTTGCTCCCCGGATTTACATGGCCGCTGCCAAAAGTATAAGTGTCAAGATTAACTACGTGTGTGGTTTGTACCATCTATTCCAATTATCTACTCCGGGTTACTTTATTAAATCATGCTATAAAAACAATACTTTTATTATTACTTTTACTTTTATTCTATTTTATACTATATACTTATTCAATTATTCAATTATTATACATTTACTTGATTTGCTACATTTGCTATAGCGTTCAATTATTAGTATTGATCAGGAATCTACTCTTACAGTAATTGTTAGATCTCCCGTCAAAAGCTACAAAATATTAATATTTTGTTAAAGTATTACCATTGTTAAAATCAAGTACAACTTCGGAATTTATTCAAGAATCCTCTCGTTGACTTTTCGAGATTAAAGGAACAAGTTGGAAGGACTCAATACTTTAATTATTTTGTTATTCAGCCTAGTTTGTCGTTCATCTAGTCCACTGACTTTTGCACAACTAATATACTTGATTACTTCATTGTTTATTGAGTATTACACCCCTGAATACAT